CTGGCAAAGGAATTAGACTTCCAGGAAATCCAGGAATCTCAGAGAGTCCCAAAGAAGTTGCACCCAAGAAGGAACATACCAAGGCACATCATCATTACATTAGCCAAGAGTAAAGTGAAGGAGAGAACCCTAGAAGCAGCAAGAGATAAGGGGACAGTCACCTCCAAAGGAGTTCCCATCAGACTGTCAGCGGATTTCTCAAAGGACACCTTACAGGCAAGAAGGGGCTGGAAAGAAGTATTCCAAGTCATGAAATCCAAAGACCTACCTCCAAGATTGCTCTATCTAGCACAGCTTTCATTTAGAATGGAAGGGCAGATAAAGTGCTTCTCAGATAAGATCAAATTCAAGGAGTTCATCATTACCAAGCCCTTACTATATGAAATGTTAAAGGGACTTGTAAGAAAAAGAAGATAAAAAAGATGAACAGTGAAAGAACAGCAAACTCACAGTTATTAACAACGACACCTAAAACAAAAGCAAACTAAGAGGACAGCTAGATCAGGAGCAGAACCATGGAAATGAAGATCACGTGGAGGGTTAGCAGCAGGGGAGTGGGAGAAGGGGGGAGAAGGTACGGAAAATAAGTAGTATAGACAGTAGGTAGAAAACAGATAGGGGGGAGAGCAAGCATAGTATGGGAAATACAGAATCTAAAGAACTTGTTGACACCTGGACATAAACTAAAGGGGGGTAATGGTGGGGGAGGGGTGTGAAGGGTGGAGGGGAATGAAGGGGGGGGGAATGGGACAAGTGTAATGGCACAATCAATAAAATATATTTTTTTAAAAAGGAAAAAACCAGAAAACTCTCTATTAAATTGAAGTTAAAAATATATATCATTGTCAAATATAAAAGGGGATTTTGTCAGAAAAAAATTAGTCACATCTAATTTAAAGAGAACACAAGTAAATATTAGAGAGGAATATATATTTAATTCAGAAGAAGTTCAAAGCATGAGTACACCAATTAACCTCAAAGAAATCTGGGGAAAAAAAACCTTATTTTCTTCTGCAAAAATCTCCAGTCCTAATGGTCTTATTGGTGATTTAGTTCCAAAATACAGCATAAGGTAGAATAGCAAGAAGTTGCTAGAATGATTGTTCCAGACAATGATGTAAATGCTTTGCATATTGTTTTCCTTAAATATTGCATTAATATTAAAATGGGCACTATTTATTATCCCAATATTCAGATAAAGTAGAGATGGAAATTTTCAAATTCATTAAAACAATAGGAATAGGGCCCTGGCTGGTGTAGCTCAGTGGATTGAGCACAGGCCTGCGAACCAGAGGATTGTGGTTCGATTCCCAGTCAGGGCACATATCTGGGTTGCAGGCCGGTTCCCTGTAGAACAGTTCCCAGGAGGGGGTGCATGAAAGGCAACCATACATTGATATTTCTCTCCCTCTCTCCTTCCCCTCTAAAAGATAAATAAAATCTTTAAAAAAAACCCCGAAACAATAGGAATAATCTTGAAACCAATCTCATTCTTAGTAAACATTTAAATAAAATATTGACAAATCAAATTTAGTTACATTTGAAGAATCACTAAGATTAGAAAGTATACAATACTAGCATTATTAATAAAACATTTTAATTGATATTGGAATAGCACTTAATTGTTAAACATACACTCCTAATGTAAATACTTATTTGGAAAATAATTATTTATAGGTGATATACCCTTAGTAAATAAAAACCAACCACAAAAGAAAGCCATCAGTTCAATAGAGTTCCTCAGTGAGGGGCCCAAATATAAAATAAAACATAAAATAAACAGATTTCTTATAGTCATTAATATGGTATTTTACTGACAGATCTTTAAAAAATAAACTAGTGGAATAGACTAAAATCCAGAACCAAACGCACGGGTTTACCAGCTGATGACAATAGGAACAGGGCAGTATATTTGGGAAAGAAAGTCTTCCCTCAATCCATGGTGCTGGGTTAACAGGATATACATACGGAGTATCAATTCCAGAAAGATGATCGCTGAAAGTACAGAAGGTTAAACAAGAAATCTTCAAGAAAAACATGGCAAAGTATTAGATTATCTGCTATCCATCTGGAAATGGACTTGTGTGTAGAACACAGAGAGAATGCCTACCTATCGGTAATAAAAGGCACAATCCAATACAAAAATGGGCAAAAATCATGAACAGATACTACACAAAAGGGGATAATCCAAATGGCAAATAATCATTTGAAACTGTGTTCAAGTTTATCAGGAACAATCAAATCCAAATCACAATATGAATGAAACCAGACCACCTCTTTACACCATACACAAAATTAAACTCAAAATTGATGAAAGATTCAGCCCTGGCTGGGTGGCTTGGTTGGCTAGAGCATCATTCTGTGCACCAAAGGCTATGTATGGGTTTGATTTCTGGTCAGGGCACATACCTGGGATGCAGGTAAAATCCCTGGTTGGGGCATGTACAGAAGGCAACTGATAGATATTTTCCTCCCTCTCTCTCCTCCTTCCTCTCTCTCTCTAAAATCAATAAACATACACTTGGATGTATATTTATTAAAATTAAAACTTTAATTAAAATGCATTATTTAAAAAAATTTAATTAAAAATGGATTAAAATTTTAAAAAATGGATTTAAATAAACAAATGGGAGTACATTAAAAAGGTTCTTCTCAGCAAGATGCATAAGAACCAACCCACTGTAAGGGAGAATTTTTTTTTGCCAATAATGTATCTGGTAAGGGTTTAATCTCCAAAATACACAAAGAACTAATACAACTCAATGCCAGGAAGAAATACAACCAACTTAAGAAATGGGCAAAAGACCTGAATAGATACTTCTCTAAAGAGGATACACGGATGGCCAATAGACGTATGAAAAAATACTCAACATCACTAATCATCAGAGAAATACAATTAAAACCACAATGAAAAAAAACCCACAATGAGATATCACTTTATACCTGTCAGAATGGCTGTCATCAATAAATCAAAAAACAAGTGTTGATGAGGATGTGGAGAAAAGGGAATCCTAATGCACTGTTGCTGGGAATGCAGTCTGGTGCAGGTACTGTGAAAAACGGTATGGAGTTTCCTCAAAAAATTAAAAATGAAACTGCCTAATGACCCAGTCCTTCTACTTCTAGGAATATAGCTGAAGAAACCCAAAACACTGATCTGAAAGAATATAAGCACCCCTGTGTTCATGCAGCATTATTTACAATTGTCAAGATTTGGAAGCAGCCCAAGTGCCCATCAGTAGATGAGTGGATAAAAAAACTGTGGTACATTTACACAATAAAATGCTTACTTGGCAGTAAAAAAAAAAACTTAACCTTCTGCAATAGCATGAATGGACCTGGAGAATATTATGCTAAGTGAAATAAGTCAGAGAAAGACAAATCATACCATATGACTCCATTTATATGTGAAATATAATGAACAAAATATACTAACAAAATAGGAACAATCCCATAAATCCAGAAAATAGAGTGAAAGCTGTCAAGAGGGGAGAAGGGTTGGGGAACTGTGTGAAAAAGATATAGGGATTAAGCAATTAAAAAAACACACACACACACCTCACAGACATAGTCAACAACATGGTGATTTCCTGAGGGAAGGGGGTTGGCTGGGAAGAGGTTGAAGAGGGCTAAGGGGAGACAAATGGTGGCAGAGAGACTTGACTTTGAGTCATGAGTTCATGCTGTAATATGAATGTGCAGATGGTATATTACAGAATTGTATGCTTGAAACCTATATGGTTTTATGAACACACCTCACAGACATAGTCAACAACATGGTGATTTCTTGAGGGAAGGGGGTTGGCTGGGAAAAGGTTGAGGAGGGCTAAGGGGAGACAAATGGTGGCAGAAAGAGACTTGACTTTGAGTCATGAGTTCATGCTGTAATATGAATGTGCAGATGGTGTATTACAGAATTGTATGCTTGAAACCTATATGGTTTTATGAACTAATGTCACTCCAATAAATTCAATTAAAAAAAGAAGCTATAAGAAAAACCATACAATGTGACACCAACGTACTTCAAAAATGGCTTAAACAAAATGATCAAGTATTAACAATAACATAAAACCACCAGAACTCTTCTTACACTGTTGATGGTGTATGATTTGGTACAGACGCTCTGGAAAACTAAAAAACAAAACAAAACAACCTGAATAACATTGAATATACACAACCCTAGCACCCAGCAACTCCTAACTGCACATCCAGCTGAAAAATACAATACATTCACCAAAAGACATGTTCAAAAATATAGAAGAGGTTCTATTCATAACAGCCCCAAACTGGAAATAACCTAAATGTTCAACTATAAAATGGACTAACTGTGGTGTAACACAATGTGGATAAACACAATGAGAGCACAGTGTTGAGAATGAGACTAAAATATCCATGAATATATTTTACCATGTTGAGCAAAAGAAGTTATGCAAGACTGACTGTATACTATAGGAATCTATTATACGAGATTCATAAAAAGCAGAAAGTATGGTGCTGGAAGTCAGGATAAGACTTACCGTTCAGACCAGTAGTTATGCAAAGGAAGTATGAGGGGGTTCTAGGGATACTGGCAATGTTGTATTCTTGATCTGGGTGAGTAAGTGAATGAGTGTACTTTTAGAAATTCATTCAGCTGTTTGAACTGAATGGTTTGTGCACTTGTTCTATGTTATGCTTTCATAAAATGTTTACATTAACTAAAAAAACAATCAGTTAAAGTAATGAAGAGTTCTCTAAAAATAGCAACAAACAAAATACCCAGTTTAGCAAGAAATTTATGAGGATAGCGATAACTATAAAACAATTATACATACCATATTACCATTATCCTTACTTTCAGTATCAGGTAACTTATAGGGTCAATGTACTTCAAACGAATAACCCAACAGAATTTTAACTTGAAACAATACAATGATTCTACAGTTAATCAAAAAGTATAAAAAGGGGAGTACTTAAAAAATATAAGAAGTCATAATACACACAAAACTATAATCATTTAATCAGTGACACAAAATAATCTATAAACCATATTATATACTGTATTTATATAAATTTAATACAGGTCCAAAATTTGACTTTATACCTTTATGGTTAGCTGGGTTTCATAATTAAGATATTTAGCGTTTTTTAAAAAGTAACACAATGCATATATCATATAACTCTAAGTTGAATCTAAAATTTCACCCTAATTAAGGACATTATTGCTTTTCAAGCAAAGTATGAACGTTTATACCAAATGAGATAAGGACTCACAGTCTCTTGTCAAACCAGGTCAGATTTTGCCATGAAATGGGTTTTGATGCCAAACTTAAGGGAAAAATACTGGTTGGTAAGAACCTTTTGATTTTAGAATTATGAATACAAGATTATGCATTAGTATAAAATAAGAAGAGGCATTGTAAGTAAATGTATGGGGGAAGAGAAAACTTATTTTAACCTATTAAACTGAGTCAAGTGGTTAGATATTTAGGGGGAAAAAAAGTACATTCTTATTTCACACCAGATACCAAAACAAATTATATACGGATTAGAGCTAAGTACTCATTTTAAGAAAATCAAGAAATAACAGCCTAGAAACCAATGATGATATAGCTGAATATACATGTATTTTTAGTAAGAAATAAGCATGGTATGGAAGATATGACAATTTGCTGGCAGGAATTAATTTTCTGGCAGAGTTTGGCAAAATGTATCGAGATCCTTTAAAAATACCCACTCATTTTTTATTTGGTAATTCTAACTGTCTAAAATGTCTCCCAAGGAAATAACGAATAACCTACACAAATACTTTTTTGCAAATATGTTCACTACTTTAAAAAAATAATAGCTAAAACCTGAAATATTTAATATTATTTGAGGTAAAAAAGCATTATAAAGTTATATTTACAGTATAAGTTCAACTATGTAGAAAAAATAATTAGGAAAAAAGACTAGTAAACTATGTCAAAATGTTAACCAATGTTTATAAAAAGAAAAAGTATATTCAAAGAGGAAGCATAATAATGGAAGTCAAAAGTTCATTGGTTAACACTGGTTAACTTCAAGGTGGGCCTGCGGCTGAAAGATGGTGATGTGAGAAATGGATGGAAGCAGAAAATAGTAACAAGTCACTGAAATTACTCCTCTCAGAGTTTAAATCTGTCTCCTAATAGTCACGACATCTAGCCCTTGGCTGAATGCTAATGGATGCTTTTTTCACGTACAGTTTCAACATACTAGAGAGTTTTAACAATATCCAGGGCTAAAATAACTAAATATTTTAACTATAAGACTTTTCAGATTTGGCATACACTGACATCAACCACTGAGTAATGTACAAAATAAAAGAGTATATACTTAAATATAGTTGTAGAAGTAGCTACAAGTTTGTGATATACTTTAACCCTAAAATGCCATCATGAGGCACTTGACTGCTGAAATAGGTTTCCAGGTAGAATACTACCATTAAGTCCAGCATGCCTGAACTTTTAAGGTAAAATGGAGATTGTGTTTTGCTCTTGGACATAAATGAAGTCTCCAATTCTTTGGACACATCTAGTGGCTGCTAGCTACTGAACTAAGAATCTTGAAGAAAGTGACTTATTTGTAAATGAATTCTTAGTAGTCAGCACATATAAATGCATAATAATTGAATGAAGAGAAAATCTATAATTTTCAACCTTATGTGGACTCCTGAAAAAGTATGCAAGAATTGACTTGCAAAGAGATTTAATCAACATATCTAAATGAGAATGACTGCCAATATGAAGGAATTCAAACTTTAAGTTAATGAAAATATTTATTCAAACCTAACTGCATTACAGTATCAAGTTGAATTAAATAAACATTAACTGTATGATATTTAGTTCCTTAGGGATAGACTACTGTCACATCATATAATTTTTACAATACAAATTTCTGCTGCAGTAAGTGTCGGCAATTAAGATGTTACTTCCACATGGAGAAATGTTGTTTTGAGTAGGATGGATTTAGTTTTTAAAGGCCCAGTACAAAAAAAAAAGTTGAGGAAATAACTTTTACATATACCTGTAGGAAAAAAATCTTAATATATTGATATTTAACCAAACAGAAAACACTTGAGAGAACATACTTTAATATCTAGGCACAATTGGTCAAGTACTAATTATAATTTCTGTTCTCATTGAAAGGTTTAGAGCAATCCATCAACTTGACTGATGTGTTAAGTCTAATACAGAGAAGGCACCTCTCATTTCCCTTTTTGAGAGTAACTATAACATTTTAAGGAGTACAGAGACAATGCACTAACAGATATAGTTACTTAACAGCCCATTTTAGGAGAAACATTAAATATAAAACTATGATTTCTCTTCTTATGATGGACATGGCTTTCTAAAAGGACACAAGAAAATAATCCTCCACATAAGCTTTAAAATAGAATACAAGATTTAAATTAAATGTGCATTGGTCACTACTATGTAAGGAGGTCTAAGAATTAGTGCAATTCTTTAAATCCCCAGTACTTAGGGGAAAAGTATATACATCCCAAGAAATCTCAACTAGTACATAACCAAACATTTTATGGCTCAACAGTCTAAACACTCAAAGTTCTGTGAAACATCTTGAAACTTATAACCAAAAGATGAGAACACTCAATTGGTTTACAAAAGTCTCTCTTTAAAACAAAGAGACCAGAATGATCAGAAGAAGTATAAATTTCAGAAACATAATCTTTACTGCAATGATAAGAAGGGGTTGTAAAGTATTCACTGCAGGAAAAAAACAAACTGTTATTTCCTGATCACTTTACTATCATTTGAGGTGATTATCACTTTTTACTATTTAGTGGCTATATCTTTAAATGTCTTGTTGGAAAGTTACTGAAGGCAACTTATAAGGAAAAATATTATTTCCCCCCAACAGTGAGAAACAATTCCAGACAAATAAGCCTCAGAATTGGGGATCACAAGTCAAAAAACACAGTGTGAGAACATTGGGTTGATTTAACCTCTATTTCAAGAGTATTTACAAAATATTTACAATATGCAATTATCAAAGCTATACAGTTTTGCAGATTAGCTTTATTTACATTTTTGCAACTTTTTTCCAAAATAAAAATATACCAGGCAATTCTATTTACAAACTAGACAGCTGTTTCTGAAACAGCATGATTTAGATATAAAGTGAAATTTCAGTATGATGAAAGTGCAGGTCATACTTTTAGACTTTGTAAATATCTCATTCCTTACACTCATAGTTTAAGGGATTTAAGGGATATGAGTTTTAAACAGCTTTTGTTCTTTTATGTTCAGAATGATTACTCATCGTAATGCAAGGATAACAAAAATTTGTCCACATCCATTCCAGCTGGAAATGAACTGGGCAGCTTCTTTTTCTGTCAAAAAGAAAAAAAAAAGTGAAATAAAAAAGAGAAAGAAAAAAATAAACCTAAGTTAACAGTGAACTCAAGGTCAAAAACTTTGTTAAATCACTTAGAACTTTTTATCTGGTTCTTCCACATACTAAAATTCTTGACAAGTGTTTTTCAGTTCATTATTAAGTTTCACAGAGAAGTAGAGAAAAAAATATAATAAATTCAAAGTTAATAAAATAGACTTCCAATTGTTCTTCCAGCATTAGCTTAGGTAGGACAAAAGACATTATTTAAATCCAGAGTATATTAATGCTGAATGAAATGAGATAGGATATCCTTTCTACAAAGTACCCATCATTGCTAAACTATAAACCTTAAAAAGCTTTACTAAGATTTTACAGTAACAGGTACTTTTTCAAGTTCCAAACATTTAACATACACCAGGCACTGTACAAGCACTACGTTTAGCTCTCACAGATATCAGGTAAGATGTGTGGTAACCTTCTGTTACATGATGCAGCTGAGACTCAGAGAGGCTGTGGGCTTAATCACAGTCACAGAACCAGCAAGCAGGGGATGCAGGACTCAAACCCAGGCTTGCATGGCAGCGAAGCGAAGACTCCTTCCCTGATGCATATTTTGGACACCTTTATTTCTATTCAATCCACTTACTAAATGGCTAAACAGGTTAGAAAAAAATGGGTTTCATTATTAATACTATCCCTGCATTGCCTTTTTAAAGATAACCGTGGTTAAGGAAAAAAACAGTTTTTTTTTTACACTGTTTAGTTTTTACACTGTTCCACATATTAACATCTATAAGATCCCATGAAAGATATAGCAGGACATGTGGGGAAAAAAACCAAGATGTAGAAGTTAAAAGTAGTTTTTTACTTCATGATTCCATGTACAATAGTGGCTTCCCAATTTTCATGCCTTATGTCACCCTCTATCCCCAAATTTGGATCCTACTATGACTGATACCAAAGCCACCTTTTCCCAAGGAAGATGTATATAAATAAATGCCTTAGCAATTATTTTGAAAATGCTGTTTCACCTAGACGACTCTTGGTATCACACTGGCTGAGAGACACATCTATACTACATTTTTTTTGGTCAATCAAAACTCAAAGCTGTTTCCCTAGATATTTAGCGACCTATGGCAAACAAATGTTCAGCTCTCTGACCTGAGCATCGAAGGAAGGGCAAAGGTATGATTCTGAAATTAAGACTTTCAAACTTGCCTTAATTCTCTTCTTTTTCATTGGTATTGATGAACTGGAAAGATTTTTATTAGAAGTACGGGAGTTCCGCTCACGCTCCTCTAATTCTTCAATTTTCCGCTTTTTTGTGGTGTTCCTTGAAGATGCTCTAAATTGTTGAGTATTGTCTTTTAGAGGAGTTGTTGAAGTAGCCCTAGAGATGGCTGCTCTGGAGAGAATCATTAACGTATGGGCAGCCATGTTCACACTGTTCTCACTTCCTGCTTCACTGGCAGGGCTGCAGGCTGGCAAGTCTGGGGTGACAGGAGGGACCATTACTTTGGGTGTGCTACTGTCTTCGGTGAAACGCCTGCTAGAGGGGACCTTGATACCATCTGTAGGTTCTTCTTTATGTTTTTCCCCTGCCACAGAGCCAGGCGTCCGGGGTACAGATAAATGAGTATTGTCCGTAAGCCTATTTACTGGGCTATGTCGCTGAGCATCTGGTAACATTTCTGTGGTGTGTTTGCTTAGTGGGTTAATCAAAGAACTGGCAGATTTGGTTTGTTCCTGTTTTAGATCCTTCACAGATGTACCCACTGAAATGACATTTTTACTGTTTGAGGCTGTGCCTTGTTTTTTGGTTACTTCTTGCAGTGAAGCTATAGTTTTCTCATTCCGTAAACCCCCATTTTGCTGCCCATTAGACAGTTTTGAAATTTCTGAAATTTTCTGCCTTTCCACATCACTGCATAATTCATTCTCTTTATTAGCTGTTGCTTTATGGAAAGATTCAAGTCCAATTTCTGTTGGTGAAACTTTTTTTTCTGACTGAACTTCTTTTATGGTGGTATGTCGGCTAATGGCAGATTCTGATTTAGATAAAATCTTAGGCACAGGAGGTTTCTCTCTCTCTCTTTTGAGAGTATTAGAAGAGTGTTTCAAGGTTGAGGACATCATGGGTGAGTCAAGATTAGGAAATGAAATGTCACTCCTTTCTTTGTTTTGGGACACTGTCTTCTGGTTTGTCCTCTGTGTATCTGCCACAGAGGAAGCAGCGCTATCAAAACAGAGCACACGCCTGTGGCTTTCGAATGGCTTGCTAGTTGGAACTACATTCTCTACTGAGAAGGGAACTGCAATTTCTTCCAGGTTCTTTCCATGATCTGTTGCCATATTCTTATCAGAAACTTCAATTCTTTAAAAAAGAAAAAAGTTATTTTTAGCAATGTTAACAAATCATTTATGTTCTATATCTGTGCATTCAAATAATCTGACAGAAACTTTTTTTATGCTCACCTTTGGGCATGACATCCAATTAAATGATTTGATGAATCCACCATATTATTTACCTGCTTTCCTGGAATTATAAATGAATTAATTAGAAAAGAAAAACATTCTTGAAAGAACAGTATATTCCTCTGAGAGAAAACAGACTATGTGGTATCACACATCGTAAGAAAAATTTTAAAGGCAGCTAAAGTACAAATGAAATATTATCAAATATTAAGTTTAAAAGCACCTCTTTAATATATACAAGACAGTTACTCATCCATTAGGGAGGTTTCAACTTCAGGCAAATATTATGAACCCCATATTTGGAATTACAATGCTCAATATAGCACTTAAGAGTCTTACTTAGATTCAGAAAGATACTAAAAATCTGTCCATATAACTGTCATGTCACTTAGATGAGATGTGCTGGAGTTTAATAACTACATTTTGATTTCCATGTAGTTTATGTGACAGAGTAGTAAGACATGAAGCTAGAAAGAAAAGATCATGAAGGCCCTTATGTATTATGCAAAAATTCTCAATCAAGAGAACCCTTGAGAATTTTAAATATCAAACATGTATGACTAGACTAATGTTTTAGAGTTACTCTGCAAATAGTATAGAAGATGAACTAGAACAGAAATTCTAGTTAGATGTAATTAGATGGCTCTAGATATTCCAGGTAAGAGACTATGTGGATCTTAGAGAAAGTACAGGGCATTCACCTATAAAGGAGGTGGATATAAAGAGTAAAGGAGGAATAAAGAGTAAAGGAGGAATCAATGGTGACATTAACCAAAGGGGCAAAAGTAGGCAGAGCAGGTCTCTGAGGAAGAAAAGGTTAAATGGATATGTAGAGTCTGAAGGTCTCAAGACACAAAAAGTTAGATGAAGAAGCACAGCATAATGGTTCCAGAAGCTGTCAGTACTTAGAGGGAAGTACAGTAAGAATAGAAAATGTCACTGGTGACCTCATTTTAAACAGTTTTAGTGGAAACATGAGAAAAGAATAATATAGATAAAGAACAGAGATAAGAGGTGGTAGGGATAAAAGACTGGCAGGTGAAACAAACCTAATGAACTTTTCACCCAGGGAAGAAAGGGGCCAAAAACAAAAAGTTGAAGACATACAGTACATGGTTGGGGTCATGGCCAAAAGGCAACCAACTGGTGTTTCTCTCCCTCTTTCTCCCACCCTTCCACTCCAAGAGTATCCTCAGGTGAGGGAAAAATAAAGAAACAAAAATAAAATAAATGTCTTCTAAATGGCAGTGAAGGGGAAAAAATTTTAAGTGGTATCAAAGGGCCTGGTATCACTTCTAAAACAGTGCTAAGAAGCTCATGTGTAAGGGCAGAAATGGATGGTGAATTAGATCCAGGGCTGGAGGGTAGCATTTGGCAGGGTACAAGAATGTGGATATGAAGGTTTTTAATTGTACTGGGAAAAGTAACTGCTATGGTAGATTGAGGGGTCTAGCCGGCATAGTAAAGAAAAAATATAGAAAGAAACGGAAAGTTCAGGTAAAAAGTGAGGATTGAAATAATAGGAACTTCTCATTGGTGAAGGGATGTTCAGGGGCTATATGGAAATGAGAGTATCTTAAAAAAATTATTTATGTTTAAGAGAGAGGGTAAGGGAGGGAGAGCAAGAGGAAGAGAAACATCAATTGGCTGCCTCTCACACACCCCCAATTGGGGAACTGACCCACAACCCAGGCATGTGCCCTGACTTGGAATCAAATCAGTAACCTTCTGACTCGAATGCTGGCGCTCAATCCACTGAGCCACACTATCCAGGGCAGAAATGAGAATATCTTGAGAGAGGTTAATTGAACTTTAAAAATCATATAGGTCTACACTTCTGGCCAAGATGGGGGCATAGGTAGATACATTTTGCCTCCTCACACAAACAAAAGACAGAAAACAATAAATTTAAATATAAACAGAACTGCCAGAATACGGAACTGTATGAAAGTCCATCGACCAAGGAGTTAAAGAAGAAACATTCATACAGACTGATAGGAGAGGCGGAGATGGGCAGCTGGTGTGTAAAGGACATGATACAAGGTGCAGACTGGGCAAGCAAGGCAGCAGCTGGTGGTCCCACATTTGCCTGCAGATAAACCAGAAGGAACAACTGGGGATTGAGACAGATGCGTAAGCCAAGGTTCCAGTGCTGGGATATAAAGCCTCAAAACCTCTGGCTGTAAAAACTTGTGGGGGCTGAAGCAGAATAAACGTCTACCCTCACCAGAGAGTTCATTGGGGAGTCACATGGGGTCCTAGAACGTACACAAACCCACCCACCCAGGGACAGCACCAGAAGGGCCAAATTTGCTTGTGAGCAGCAGGGTAAATGACCGAAAACCTGCCAAGCAAGCAGCATTGTTCTCTCTCTGAACCCTGCCCCCGCATACAGCACTGCAACACAGCAACGTGGGTTGCCCTGCCCTGGTGAATACCTAAGGCTCTGCCCCTTACAACATAACAGGTGTGCTGAGACAAAGAAATATGGCTCAAATGAAAGAACAGAGCAAAACTCCAGAAAAAGTGCTAAGCACAGTTCCAAACACTGGTAATCAGAATGCTCCTAGAAATGGTTGAGTATGGTTGCAAAATAGAGGAAAAGTGAAGGCTATGCAAAATGAAATAAAGGAAAATGAGCAGGGAACCAACAGTGAAAAGAAGGAATCTGGGACTCAAATCATCAATTTGGAGAAGGAAAAATAAACACTAAACCAGAACAGAATGAATAAACAAGAACACAAAAAAATGAGGAGAGGCTTAGGAACCACCAGGACAACTTTAAACGTTCCAACATCCAAATCATAGGGGTGCCAGAAGGAGAAGAGGAACAGCAAGAAATCGAAAACATATTTCAATATTGAAGGAGAATTTCCCCAGTCTGGCTAAGGAAATAGACTTTCAGGAAGCCAGGAAGATCAGAGAGTCCTAAACAAGTTGGACCCAAGAGTAACATACCAAGACACACCATAATTAAATTACCCAAGGTTAAAAAGAAGTAGAGAATCTTAAAAGCAGGAAAAGAAAATGAGACAGTTACCTACAAAGGAGTGCCCATAAGACTGCCAGCTGATTTCTCAAAAGAAACTTTATAGGTAAGAAGGGACTGGAAAGTAGTATTCAAAGTCATGAAAAGCAAGGACCTACTTCCAAGATTACTCTATCCAGCAAGCTTTCATTTAGAATGGAAGGGCAGACAAAGTGCTTCCTAGATAAGGTCAAGTTAAAGGAGTTCATCATCACTAATCCCTTATTGTATGAAATATTAAAGGGAATTATCTAAGAAAAAGAAAAGGATCAGAACTATGAACAGTAAAATAACAACAAATTCACAACTCTCAACAACTGAACCTAAAAAACAAAACAAACTAAGCAAACTACCAGAACAGGAATAGAATCACAGAAATGGAGATCACGTGGAGGGTTAGCAGTGGTGAGGAAGAGGGTGGAGAATGGGGGCAAAAGGTACAAGGAATAAGCATAACTGGTAGGTACAAAGTAGACAGGGGGAGATTAAAAATAGGAAATGGAGAAGTCAAAGGAATTATGTCTATGACCCCTGGACATGAACTAAGGTGGGGGGAATACTAGTGGGAAGGCAGGGTGGACAGGGATAAAGGGAAAAAAAAAATGGGACAACTGTAATAGCATAAATAGTAAAATACACTTTAAAGTAAAAAAATCATATAGGTCTAATAAGAGTAAGTGAAAAATTAAAGATGAAGCTATGGAAGAGGCTGAGTGAAGTAAAAATTAAAGATGTGAAAGTGGAAAAGGTCAAAAAATTCAGAGCGTTAGGGTGCTTGGTAGGTTAGCTACATGGGTATGTTGTCATCCACAAAGAGGAAAATTTGAGGTAGAGAAGCCTGAGAACTGGATGCAGCATTCATCAAGGCTCTGGATGAAAATCGAGTTGTGACTCTGTACATGGTATCTTTGGCCAGCAAAATCCTTTAATTTTGTAATCAATACCACATCACACTTTTCCATTTACAAATTATGCATTCTTAAAATGCAATTCTTGCCCTGGCTGGTGTGATTCAATGGACTGAGTGTGGGCCTGCAAACTAAAGGGTTGCCAGTTTGATCCCCAGATTCCCAGTCAGGGAACATGCCTGGTTTGTGGGGTTGTAGGGTTGTGGGGTTTGCAGGCCAGGTCCTCACTAGGGGTTGGGTGAGAGGCAAGCACACACTGATGTTTCTTTTTAGAAAAAAATGTTTTAGAGATTTTATTTTATTTTTAGAGAGGGGGAAGGGAAGGATAAAGAGAGGGAGAGAAACATTAATTTGTTGTTGCCAAGTGCAAGCCCACTATGGGGGACCTGGCCCACAACCCAGGTATATGCCCTGACTGGGAATTGAACTGGCAACCCTTTACTTCGTACATGCGCTCAATCCACCAAGCCACACCAGCCAGGGCTGATATTTCTTTTTATTCCAGTAACACTGAAATATTCTCTTACATTTAGTTTTGTGTTTGTTTTGCTTTTCACTTTTAGATCTTTATTCACCTTGAATTTCACCTTTGTATATGGTACACGGAAGGGAGCTAATTTTTCTTGTACTAATACTCTGGTTTTTCACCAGATTGTATAAATCCTTCACCTTTTAATTTTTTTCTGTAATATACATATACAGTCAATAAACTTCATTTATTAATCCACCGTGTCCCCACTGATTTCTGATGTTACTTCCTATAAGTATGTGGTCAATTTCTAAACAATTTTGTCCCATTTATCTTTATCTTTTTCTTTAAATTATTGCAAAAAAAGCTTTAAGCAAAGAATGGGTGATTACCTGTTAGCAATGGTGCAAGTATTGAAAAAGAAAATAGAGGGCCCTGGCTGATGTGGCTCAGGGGCTGAGTGCTGGTCTGTGAATCAAAAGGTCGCTGATTCGATTCCTAATCTAGGGCACATGCCTAGGTAGCAGGCCAGGGCCCTGCTAGGGAGTACATGAGAGGCAACCACACACTGATAGTTCTCTGCCTTTCTCCCTCCCTTCCCCTTTCTGAAAAATAAATAAAATCTTTAAACAAACAAAAAAAAACCCCCACCAAAATAGAGATGGTGTTGCAAACAAATCAAAGACATAAAGTTGACATTAATGAACTTAAAAATGTACCTGTACAAGGCTTATTTCTTAGTCCCTGAGTTTTCTGAGATTTTTGAGAGAGAGGGATTTGAGGGATACTTCTATTGCATACAGGTGCTGCCAAAGGCATGTGAAGGACCTACAAAAGGAAAGGACGTAAGTTATACTATGTTTGAAAAGCATCACTGCACCATTTTTAGTTCATAAATCTTACCTGCTGAGGAGGAGCAGAAAATGTATTTCCATTCTGTCCAACCACAGATACAGGTATCATTCCTACCATTCCTTGGAGTACAGGCTGCACTGGAGAAGCAATTATTATGGCAGATCCTACGGCAAAGCAAAGCAAAACAAAGCAAACTCAATAAAATACGGTTTTCTTTCACCAACATAAGACAGCAAAATGATTACTCATCTGAAATAAATTTTCTAAAATTGTAATTCCTTTGCCTTTATAATTTACCCTTCTTTTTACAAAATTAGTTCAGGAAATGCAACAAAGCTAACAAATTAAGAAAAAGTGAATTTGAGTATTAAAGTGGTTCTGGCACTTAGTCAAGAGAAGTATTATAAGCAAGCATAAGATTCTACAGCCAACGGACAAGATGGAGACGTAGGTAGACACACTGTGCCCCCTCACACAACCAAAAGAAGTACAATTTAAAAACAAAAACCCACAATTTAAAAACAAAAAACCAGAACTGACAGAAAACAGAACTGTATGGAAGTCCCACAACCAAGGAGTTAAAGACGGGCTCATCCAGATTGGTAGGAGGGCGGAGATGGGCATATTGAAAGGACTCACAGCAAGGCAGCGGCTGGCAAAGTGGCAAAGTGGGCGGTCCCACATTTGTGCACAGATAAACCAGGTGGTACAATTGGGGAGTGAAACAGACCTTGCAACCCAGAGCTTCAGAGCAGGATAATAAAGCCTCAAACCACTGATTAAAAACACCTGTTGGGGTTGAGGCAGCAGCTGGAGAAACTCCCAGCCTCACAGAAGACTTTGTTGGAAAGACCCACAGGGTCGTAGAATGTACACAAGCCAACCCACCTGGGAATCAGCACCAGAAGGGCCTAATTTGCTTGTGGGAAGCGGGGGAAGTGACTGCAAGCCTGCAAAGAGCAGAGCAAATGGCACTGTTCTCTCTGGGACCCCTTCCCCACATACAGCATCACAACACAGCCACGTGGGTTAACCCTCTCAGGTGAATCCTAAGGCTCCACCCCTCACTAACAGGTACTCAAGCAAAAAAAAAAAAAAAAAAAAAAATTAGGTCCAAACAAAAGAAGAGATCAAGGTTCCAGAAAAAATACAACTAAGCAACGAAGAGATAGCCAACCTATCACATGCAGAGTTCAAAACACTGACAATCAGAATGCTCACAGAATTGGTTGAATAGGGTCACAAATTAGATGAAAAAAATGAGGCTATGCTAAGTGAAATAAAGGAAAATGTACAGGGAACCACAACAATTCAGAAAAATGAGGAGAGGCTTAAGAACCTCCAGGACATCTTTAAACGTCCCAGCATCCAAATTATAGGGGTACCAGAAAGAGAAGAGGAAAAGCAACAAGTGGAAAAGTTATCTGAAGAAATAATAAAGGAGAACTTCCCAATTCTGGCAAAGGAAATAGAATTCCGGGGAGTCCAGAAAGCACAGAGAGTCCCAGAGAAGATGGACCCAAAGAGGAACACACCAAGGCACATTATAATTACATTAGCCAAGATTAAAATAAAGGAAATAATTCTAGAAGCAGGTTTATCCATAAATAGGTTTATGGAGAGAAAAGTTAAGTTGTGTCTTGAAAGTCTCTCCAGCCCTGGTTGGCGTGGCTTAGTGGATTGAGCACTGGCCTGCGAACCAAAGGGTCAGTAGTTCGATTCCCAGTCAGGGCATGTGCCTGGGTTGTGGGCCAGGTCCCCCATAGAGGGTGCGTGAGATGCAACCACACATTGATGCTTCTCTTTCTCCCTCCCTTCCCCCCTTTCTAAAAATAAAATCTTAAAGAAAAGTCTCTCCAAATAGATAATTCCTTAAAAATTAAAATTATAATAGATATATTTTTAAAAATTTCCTACAACATTGGGTTGTAGTAGGTATATCCATAGCTATTTGATAGTCTTTTCTCTTTTGTAGTTTAGAACGTGATTAGAACATAATGGTGAAAAAATAAGAAAAAACTGTAAACCACCAAATTCCATAGCTTATTAGATTAAAAAAGTTTGAATTAGCTACAGAGGAGATATAATCAGACGTGTCAGAATCTTTTCTCACAAAAGGGGGAGGGATTTGGAGGAACAAATAGGAAGGACACAGGGATGAGAACTAAGGGGGGTGGAATTGGGAGGGAGGTGGGGAGCAAGGGGTGGGGAGGCTGGGATGGGAAAAATAGACAAAAAAGTGTACTTGAAAAATAAATAAAATTAATTTAAAAAAAAGAATCTTTTCTCACACTATCTAAGTCTTATTACCACCTAGTAATAACTACATACATAAGAGAAAGTAAATCCTATTTCACAGAAGTAAACTTCCATATATCCCTCTTTTTAAAAAAAGGCTTCATTTATTTTTAGAGAAAAGGAAGGGAGAAAGAGAGAGAGAGAGAGAGAAACATCAATGTGCGGTTACCTGTTGCACACCCCCAACCAGCCCACAACCCAGCCATGGGCCCTGACTGGGAACTGAACTGGCACACCTTCTGTCTGCAGGTGGGCACTCAAATCTACTGAGCCATACCAGGCAGGGCCATTTCGGTATGTTCTTAAAGTTACCTTGTGAAAAGTTGGGGGACACAGCTTGGTTGACAGCAAATACACTGTTCGATCTTGGTGGTGTCTGTAGTTGAGGTGGTGAAGGTTGGGCAGTTATAGGTGCAGAATTTCCAGGCAACACTACAACATTAGACCGACTTACAGTTGTCCCTAAGACTGTTGGATCAGTCACACAGGTAGCTATCAGAATGTTATTTGAATTGCCAAAAGCTGTGCTTGTAGCTGGCATCAACTGTATATACCCTCCATCCTTGGAAACACATGGTGTAACACTGGCTGAAAAACCAATGCTGTCTTCACTCTGAGTGTTGTTTTCTGCAGTATCTTCAGGTTTGAGCGCCAAAAGGCTTTGTTCCACTGAGACTGAATCTCCTTCAGTAGATGTGATAACACCTGCAGTTTCTTCTGAAGACAGACATTTAACTAATTCTGCATTTTTGGCAGGTGATTTAGCAGAAGACAAAATTATAGTTGGCACGTTTTCTCCACTGATACTAGAAACAGCACTGCTAAGTTCAGGATCTGAGGAAACAAATGAATCATCACTGATGATAATTTTGAGAGAGACAATATTTGCTGCATCTATCTCTGTTGAGTTATTGCTAGCAGGTTTATCACTAGTATTTTGGGACTCAGGGTGAGACTCTACCACTGAAGAACACACAGATTCTGAAGGAAGAGAATGTCTATCTTCTACAAGATTACCTTCAGGAGGCATCAATGTAACCTCCCCACAGTTATCATTTTCACCTAAAGAGAGAAAAATACTATCTCCATCTTCTTTTACAGAAGGTGATGGCTCATGTGAATCCAAAGGAACTTTGTCAGAACTGGAGGGCTGAACTTCATGTTCTGTACGATTTAACTCAACACACGATGAATCACTAGATGGCTGTTTAATTGAAGATATTGAATCTCCAAGACAAATTTCTACTTGTTGTTCAGATACATTTAAACCTGAACTTTCAACAGACACAGATAATATTTTACTTTGAAGTGAAGAATTATCTTGGCAATCTGAAAGTCGTTGTGATGTTACTGGTAATACATCATTAATTTCAATTTTACTCTGGTGAATTTCTCTAGAACCTGGTGACTTGGAACCATGGAAATTAGCTTTCAGTCTTCCTGCATCGTTCAAACTTTCAGAAATTTTAGATGGCTTTCCAGTTAATGGTATATTTGGGGATACAAGTTGAGAACTTTTCCCAGAGAGATTTAAGTTTTCATTTTTAGTTTCATCACCAAGGGCAACAAAGGAAGTTACTGGTGTATCAGAACAATCTGGCTGTAACTGGGATTCATTCAGCACATTTGGAGACAAAGAATTCTTTTCAACTTCTATAGCCATTTCAGTTTCAGTGGACATCTGACTGGTATATAATTCAGCACAATGCTGATTACATTTGGCATCAGAATTTATTCTTTGGTTAAAGTCATTCAAACTAGGCACAGACTCAAAGGTAATATCAAGGTTACCCTTCTGTTCAGTAGGTACAACTGTTTTCAAGGTCTTTTTTTGGATGCTAGAGCCTAGCTGAGAAAAATGTTCCTGGGGTTCATGTCTAAGCTCTTCATGGTTGCTGTCATTCTTCAAAGCATTTGACGTGTCTTCATTTTGGTAAGATGTACATAGTGGGGGTTGACCAGATTGATCATCTGCAAAATATTAGGAGAGTAGAAAGATATGGTGAGTATGTACAGCTTTCTGAGGCAGTCATGTTTACCATAAAACCTATTTTTTCATGAAAGAAACTAATCATGGACATACCAGTAAGTGACAGTTTGATATAAAAATCATTATCCACCATTTTCTGAGTATGAAAACACAGGTACTTTTTTTATTACTGGTGCCTTTTTAAAGAAGTGCCAAATTGTTTTCAAGCTTCTTGGAAAACAGATGACAGTGAAGGACTTATATAGGTTTAAGAACATCTAATATTTACCAGTATGTACAAAAATAAGATGACGGTTCCAAACATGCAGTTTTCTTCAAGATACTCAACTTTTCTAATTTTACCATTTCTACTAACCTTACTTTATGATACATTCTTAAAAGTGAAATGGGGCCCAGTACATTTTGCACAATCAACATGTAATGCTATTATGTACTGCTTAATATTCAACACACATTTACTGAAAATCAACCATGTTTGGTACTGGGAAACAAAGATGAATGACCTTGGAAAAACCAGTCTAATAAAGGAAGCAAATACAGAACAAAAAGCAATAAAAAAACATGGTAAAAACTGCAAAAGTACAGGAACAAAAGGCACCTCTTTCTGCTTGCTGATGTGAGAATGTGTTATAAAGGTGTTAATAAAAGTGTGACAGCTGGAATAAGAAGAAAGGGCATTTAAGAAAACAATACAGCACTGATACACTGTGTCATACAGCATTCACACTTTAGGACAGAAAACAGTACTAATTAACAATATAAAAAATATAGGGAAAAATCCAGAAAATGTTTATCAATAATCATGTAGTTCTGTTCATGTGACAGTGGTAAAATAATAGTGGTACAGAGCACACCTGCATCCTTATTGTGGGGAGACTAGTGGAGATTACACCCAGGCCAACTAAATTCAGGAGTAGTCAGTTTCAATGAAGCAGGAAGACCTTCTGAGAAAATAAGATCTCAAATTTCATTTTGTGAAGGGTAGATCTTAATCGAGGCACAATCTTTCATGCACACACACTTAGAGAGAGAAAGATATACCCCATTGTAATCCAGCAGAAACAATTACTTCGGCATGGCTGGAGATAGAAATGGATTAGAGGTGGTACCACAGTGGTGTAAAGTTTAGCAAGAACTGCTGATGCTAAACTGAATAATGTGAGGGAAACCAGGATAATGGTTATCTCTAAGGAACAAGGATGGAGGAAATATTGATTTGGAAGGAAAGGGAAGAGAGGTTTTGGTGGTGCTGGTGGTGTTCTTTTTTTTTTACTTAAGAGAGGGTTACATGGTATTTGCTGGACTTACAACTCTATGAGCTATATACATTTTTTATTGTGCACTTCTGTACATGTGTTACATTTTACCAAAGTAAAATATGAAGAAAATTGGCAAATATTTAAAAGACCTAAAATGGACATATTCACTGTCTTCCCTCATTCAACAAGTAGTTCCTGTGGGGCAATTATGTGCCATACCGGTACTCCATGGCAGGCAGAAACAGAAGGAACTGAGTTAGTGGGCACAAAGGAACATTACTAAAACCTCATAAAATCCTTAATTCAAGACTATTGCACACAATTTCCTCTAAATAAGTGAGATATGGATACTGAGCAGTCAGCTAAACTTGCTTACTAGGCTGAATGATTAATACCACACACTAACCTTACATATGAGGGATTTGAATTTGTGGCTCAAAAAAAAGTCAATTATGATATAGACTTTGGTCAAATTGGTCAACACTATTAATATCAAATTGTGCATGTTAAGACTCTATCATAAAATGAAAGAGTAACTACTAAAAATTCATCTTTTCAAAGTACTACAGGCTGGGGAGTGACTTTCTATTTATTTTTTCTAATGACGAGAGAATACTAGAAATACAAAATGACCTATGTGGTAATTTGAACAATTTCTAAATTAAACAATGTTTTTTGCCTTTGAAATTTTGAGACTGACATTAAGGTTTGGATTGATGATATTAACAAAGTCAAATTCTTACCAGATTCTTCTGTTTTAAAAGAACCTTTAACTGCTAGATTAGTTTCATCTGCTAAGACTACATTGGGATTGGTTTCCATATGCTGACTGGACATGCCTTGTGATAAATTTTTATTATTCTTTGTTTTACCTGTTAAAAAGGGAATAGGGAAACAATTGGTTAAATGACCAAAATGAAAATGAGCATCAATTAATGAAGCTTGACAGTGGTCAAGCAAATGTTAAACTTTGGTTTTAATTATTGGTGTTTTGGATGTTTTTAATATACTGCTTTTTATCAATGACCAGAACAAAGATTTTTCTACCAGACCGGTAGTTCTTAAACTTTAGCCTATTATCAGAATCACCTGAGGCGAGGGGCAGTCCTGAATTTGAATTTTTAACATGTTCTCAGATAACTATGGTACTGCTGGTTGAAAGACTACATTTTGCACTAGGCCATAAGATTGAAGCAAATAGTCAACTTTTTGTATTCCTTTTGTTCTATCCAATTGTGTTTGGTATAATGTATGTATAGCAGCAGATTTCAACACATTTGTTTTGACTGGCAAAAATGCCCACGAAAAACAAAACTAAAACTATTCAACACTTTTACAACTTAGCTAAAGTTTCTTTAAGAAAATACAAAACAAAAAAACCACAAAATGCCTTTCATATCCATATAATGTTTAATAAAAATAGAAACTGTTTTCAGATGCTCTGGGGAATGTTGCATCATTTTGCTTAAGTTCTCAAAGAAACGAAGAAAGTTTTTTCTTCTAACTGCCTTGAAAGAAACAGTCTTCTTACCATAGTCAAAGAGGTCAAAGAGTGCCTGAAAGGCTGGATCTGATTCTGTCTGTTCCAATATATCTTGTATAGCTTCTTCAGACATATGAATTTCACTCTACCAAAAAAAAAAACAAAAAAACCTATTTAAATTAATATGGTTTAATACCAGCAAAATATATTGCAAAAATTAAAATAAACATAGGAACTATATATACATATGAATATAAATGAAAACATGCTTAAAGTGTACAGCATAATGACTTGACCTACATATATTGTAAAATGATCCCACAATAAGTTAATATCTCATGTAGATTAAAAAAAGAAAGAAAAAGAAAAGTTATTTTTTCCTTGTGAGACCGCTTAGGCTCTAATCTCTTAACAACTTTCAAGTATACCATACAGAAATATTAACTATAGCCATGTTGTACATTAAATCCCCGGTACTTATTTATCTTATTACTGGAAGTTTGTACCTTTGATGTTCATCCAGTTCTCCCACTTCTTACCCCCTTTACTTATGGTAACCATGAATGTGATCACCTTTTCTATGAGTTTGGTTTTATAATGTTCTCTAATCTGTTTTTTTTTTTTACATTAGCTTATTGTACACTGCTTTCTAAGTTCTCCGAATACAAATTTAGCTCATTCCTTTTAGCTGTTTGCTTCAGTCTCTTCATAGTAAATGCTATCTTCAAATGTCAGACAATCCTTGTTTGCCTGCTCATATATAAAATTACCATGCCATACTTAAGTTACCTGAAAATTCTTGGCTGAAAGTGGGAGCTTTTCAATTACAATATAAGCAGTAGAATAATCTTACAGAATCATCTAAATTTTGGGTTTTTTTCCTTTCAGTGAGTTATGTATCTTGCTGGAAGAATTCATGACAGTTTTTCTGGGGGACAGTGTGGTGTGGGAAGGTATGGAGTTTCACTAATTCCTAAAATGTGCACCTTTGCACCCTAGTTGTAGCCCTATCTTATCCTTTATTTTCAAAAGTAATCGTGTCAAGTCTTTTCAGACTTCTGTGTGGTAAAGTGGCTTTTACCTGAGCTTTGCCTGTCCTGCTAAGTCAGGGACAACTTGTCTATTTCAACTTGCAAATCAAATTTTTTTCCTGTCATGTCCTCTTCTTTGTCCTTGTGGTTTAAGCTTAAAAAAAATTTCCTATACTGTCCTTTCAGTAGTAGGATAAAAAACTCAACCAATTCCCACTTTGGGCCATTTAAACTTTTTCTAATTTTCATTTACAGTAAATAAAGCTACAGTCAAAATCTTTATCCAGCACTTGTTCATTTCTTGGGTTAAATGCTACTCATTGGAATTACTAGGTCAAAAGATACATATATTTAAAAGTTTGAGCCCTGGTTGGTATGACTCAGTGGACTGAGTGCTGGCCCCTGCAATCCAAAGAGTCATTGGTTTGATTCCCAGTCAGGGTACATGCCGGGGTTGTGGGCCAGGTCCCCAGTAGCAGGTCTGTGAGAAGCAACCACACATTGATGTTTCCCTCTCCCTCCCCTTCCCCTCTCTAAAAATAAAAAACAACATCTTAAAGAAAAAAAGTAAGTACTTACAAAAATGAATTTTATTTATTTTTAGAGAGAGGGGAAGGCTGGGAGAAAGAACAGGAGAGAAACATCAACATATGACTGCTTCTTGTATACCCCCAAGAAGGCCCACAACCCAGGAATATGCCCTGACAGAGAAGAGAGCTGTCAATCCTTTGGTTTGCAGGCCTGTGTTCAATCCACTGAGCGACATCAGCAGGGATAAATAAAATGAAATTTTGAGAACTCTTGACAAAGCAGCCTTCCAGAGAAGTTGTATAAGGATGCCTTCTCTCTTTTGTGTAACAATGCACATGCCCTTACAAATAATGGGCAATATGAAATTTTAACCATTATCAGCGTAATAAATAAAAGCAGTCTGGTGTCTTTATATTTATTACTGAGTTGAATATATTTCCATTTTTATTGGACATCTGTACTTTTTATTGTTCTTTTTAGAGAGGGAGGGAGGGAGAGAGAGAGAAAGAAAAAGAGCAGTGTGAAAAAGAAACATCGACTGGCTATCTCCCATACGTGCAACCTAGGTATTTCCCATGAGTGGGAATCAAGCTCACGACCCTTTGGTACACTGGATGATGCTCCAAACCACTGAGCTACCTGGCCAGGGCTGGACATTTGTACTTTTTATGGAGACCAATATGATTTAAATGAAATGATACTGAACATGCTTTAAAATAACTCATTCAAAGCTGGAGTGCAACCATGGGGTAAAGACTGTCTCCTACCCATGAGTAGTCAGTAGAAGTGCTGAGATTTCTCATGCTTACAAACTTCTGGGGTAAAACACCATTACCACATCTGGCTACCACATTTCCTGTAAGTTACTGCAAACAGAGTTGGTTGAATACTTCTCACTGGAGCTGGAGTAAGCCAGAGGGCAAGGTAGCCAGATAAAAAGAATGTGTTTTTCAATTGCATCAATTTTATATGAAGACTTAAGAGATTTTTTTAATATCCTAATCTTAAGACATTTTTTTTTTCATTGCATTTTTAGAGAAAGGGAGAGAAGACTGGATAAAGAGAAAAACTGATGAGAGAGAAAAGCTTAGATTGGTTGCCTGCAGTATGGGCTGGACCAGGGATCAAACCCACAAACTAGATTATGTGTCTTGACTGGGAATCAAACCTGCAACCCTTTGATTATGGTACAACACTCCAACAGACTGGAACCAACACTGACCACAGTGAAGGTTTAAGACATTAAAAAAAAAAAAAAAGACCAGGAACATATTACAGAAAAAGCAAAACAGAATGTTTTCAGCTAAAATATTAGATTTCAAAAGTTTCAGTATTCTAGCTAGGGATATTTATTTACTCTCTCCTTTTATAGCTGAAGATTTAAAATTTCAATTTCAGTTATCTATATATCATTCTGCAATGCTATATTCTTCGATGTCGGTGAAACATACATTTAAATCACACAGGACAAGAAATTCATATGGAAAAACAGGTAAAGTGGAACTCTCATAAGGTGATAAAAATTTGGATTTTTTAAACAAAAATGGCCATGAAATTTAGAAAAATGTTTTGTTTGAAGTAAAAAAAACAAGTTAACTTTGGATTACGAGGCTATAAAAAGAACATCAATAATTCTGATAAAGTATGATTTAGGAGGAAGTTAGAAGCTTGAGCTGATATTTCTATATCTAATAACTTGAAAATATACAGTACTGTAAATAATGTGAGGTCAATGCTAATCAAACTATAAAACAGTGCAACCATACCTCCTTTTATAAAAGTTATTGTTGAAGAAACACATTTTTCTAGTATTTTTCAATTCATTCTAAACTTTAACAATTAGGATCAAAAGAATCCTGAAATATTTGTTCCATAGGTACTTGCAAACCAATTTGTAATTTTTTTTAAATCAAGGCATAGTTTATACATAATAAAAGGCACAGAAGCTAAGTCCACAGTTCAACAAGCTTTGACAACTGTATGGACAGTATAATTATCACCCCAATCCAAATGAAAACATATAACATTTCCATACACCCTCCTCAACACAATCCCCCTTCCTAGAGAATTCCTTCCCTTGGCAAATCATTCACCTTACCCTCACCTATGCAACAATTTCCTTCAGCATTCCTGTTGCCTGTTTTAGAACTTTATATTAACTGAGACATACAAAATGCATTCCATTATGTCTATCTTCTCTCATCAACTGAGATTCATCCATGTTGTTATGCATATTACTAGCTCATTCTTTTGTATTTTTCAATAGGATTCTTTTTTTATGACCATGTCAAAATTTGTTTATTACTTTTTGTTGAAGGACATTTGGTTTGTTTTCATGTTTGTCTATTATGAATAAAGCTACTATGAACATTCTTGTATAAGTCTTTTTGTAAACATAGCTGTTCCTTTTGGTTAAAAACCTAGTATAATTAATTGGCAGGTCGTAAGTTAGGTATATAGGTCTATATATGACTTTTTAAGAAACTATGTTCGTTTTCCAAATTGGCTATATTATTTTACATCCTTCACCAGAATTTTTCATAGATCCAGGTGTTTCACATGCTTTCTAATATTTGGTCATGTCAGATTTTTTACTCTAGCCACTCTAAGTTAAGTGTGAAATGACATTTTATTCTTATTTTCATTTCCCAAGTGACAATGCAGAGTATCTTCTTATGGTCTTATTGGTAATTCCCACATCTTCCTTTGTCTGTTCCAGTTTTTCACCCCCCCCTTTTAAAATGGGATGGTTTAGCCTTTTATTATTGATGTGTAGAAGCTCTTTATATCCTGCAGATATAGGTTCCTTGCCAGATATATGTATTATATTTTCTCCAAGTTGGTAGTTTGCCTTTTTTCTTTATAATATTTTTAACAGGCAAGTATTTTAAATTTCAAGGAAGCCTTTTAAAATTATTATTATAGTTACTGATTTGTACAGCCCTAAGAAATCTTGCTTACCCTAAGGTGACAAAGACTTGCAAATATTATAAACAACCAATAGCAGAGGGCTGTATCATCATTTTAATATAACCACTCACAGTACCTAACAGAGTGCCTTAGTTATAGGAACCAACTGTATTTTGATGTGTTTCTGTAGAAAATATACGCAAGGACTTTTAAGACTATAAAATTTAAACCTGGCAACATGTTTTTTGTTAAACATTAGAAAAGAAGAGGCTATGAAATGCAGTATTGGTAGATAATCTGTATGGAGAAGATGCTGTGACTGACTGAATGTGTCAAAAGTGGTTTGTAAAAGTTTCTTGGTACTACTGACATTTTAGCCAAGTAATTCTTTGCTGTGGGGCTATTTTAGGCACTGAAAGATATTTAATGGGTAGAGGTCTCTGACCTCTACCCACTAGAAGCCAACATACTCAAAATATCCAAGGTAATAAAGTTACTAGTGAAAATGAAAAATGTGTGTTTTATTTTATGGAAAGAACTAAACAGACTTTTTGGACAACCCAGTATTGTTAACATATCATTCCATTACTTTTAAAAATTCTTACACAGTTTATAGCAACACAGAGGAAACTAATTTATTATACACTGTATGGTACTGCTGTTTAATGCATATAACATATGTACCCACTAATGAATCTTTAAGTATTAAAATACTTAGAAATGTAGAAAACTAGTATAAAGGACACATGAACAACAGCTAAGGGGGGTGGAAATGGGAGGGAGGTGGGGAGCATGGGGGTGTGGGCTGGGAAGGGAGTACAAGACAGAAAATTGTACTTGAAAAATAATTAAATAAAAAATAAGTAAAATAAAATACTTAGAAATGCATGACTGATTGTTGTATGGATAAGGGGAAGGTATTTTTCTGATATCTGGAAGAGTTGGTTAAAGTTATAAGATGGGTTAGGAATGTCTTATAAGTTTTAGCATTTAAATAAAGCAATTTTAATATATATAAATCAAATCATCAAGCTATATGCCTTAAACATATACAGTGATGTATGTCAATCATTTCTCAATAAAACTGAAAAAAAAAAAAAAAGTACTCATGTGACACTTAACAATGGGACATGTTCTGGGAAAATGCATCATTAGTCACTTTTGTTTCTGTATGAACCTAATACTGTATTTTAAACAAATCGAGATGATAGAGCCTACTACACACATAGGCTGTATGTTATAGCTTAGTACTTCTAGGCTAGAAACCTGTATAGCCTGTTATTATACTAAAAACTGTAGAGAATTTTAACACAATGATAAGTATTTGCATATCTAAACATAAAAATATACTGTATGAATACATTAAAAGGTAAAAATGGTATATGTATATAAAGCGCTCAGTCTGAATGAAGCTTACAGGACTGAAGTTGCTCTGGATGAATCAGTTAGTGACTGGTGAGTGAATGTAAAGTCCTAGGACATTACTGTACACTACTGCAGACTTTATACACACTGTCCCACAGGTTCTTCCTGTGCTTCCTTCTAACAGGGTCAGCAACAGAACGTCAAAGCTGTCAACGTTGCTCAGCTCCATGAACAGGGATGTGGGCTAGACTGACAGGAAATATGGAGGAGAAACTGGCTGGGTAAAGCAAAAATCAATATAAAAGTGACTACCAGGAGGAAATGAAAGGTGACCTGAGAATCAGCAAGAATAATAAATCAAGATAGAAAGATAAAGGACCATAGAGATATAGGCAGGATGATGTAATTTTGGCTACTGCATGTTGGACCAGAAGTTAGATTAAAAAACATTGTGGTAGTCATAAAAAATGAGGGTATTTGACAGGGAGATTGTGTAGTATTGAGGACTCAATATTTTGACTCTGCAAATTTGTTTTTGGTTCTACCACCCTCTATCTGTCTGATACAGAGGATTCTCTGTGACATTGAATTGATGGAAGAAATAAAACTTATCTACTCTTTACTGCATTACAATCTGAAAATATTCCCAAAGCACAAGAACAGGCTGGCTCCACACTATCACAGAAAGCTTTCATGAAAGTGGCAGTGACACTCAATACCTTTTAATGTAGCTCCTGTGGACCTGTGTGCTTATACAGGACCTTAGGTCCTCAATAAAGATCGTGTAACAAATGTACTCTTAACACCATCAGGCTAGATCTGGGAGAGCTGTAGCGACCCTCTTGAATACATAGTGCTGAGGATAGGATCCTCTGTGCTGTATCAGGTCAGTGGCTGACTGGGATGTAACCTTAAAACTGAGGTGCTTTGGATGCAAGGGAACCTATTGCCAAGCTCCACAGACATTGCTTCTGTCAGAAAAAAAGATTTCTTCTAAACCACATTTCCTTCCACTTCTTACAGAACACTCACCTCCATTACTAATCTTCTTATGGAACAACTTTCTATATGTGATCCTGATCCATCGCTGACCAAAACATCATTATGTAGCACATGACTACTATGCAATTTTGACTGATTATTTGAATATTCACAAACACATTTTCAGGAACAGATTGTATTCACGTAATAAAGTTAGTCTGTATCTTAAACAATTATTTAAAAAAATTTTATCTATCTAATCAGTTGGCAATGGTTTTGGAATGAAACTGCAATGCCATCATTTTTAAGTATGTACTACATAGTCATGTAGTACACAGTATACACAACTGTGTATGTGTAGTACACAGCCACCCTCACCCATACCTGAAGTCCCAGAAGTTCATCAATTGAAGTCTCTGGTTCAGTAGGGTTACTATCTGTTGGCTTAGGTGCTTGAGCAATATTGTTGTCACTATAATAGAGAAAGATAAAATTATTTTTTTATTTTTTAGAGACAGGGGATGATAAACATGAATCAGCTGCCTCTTGCACATGCCCCATCTGAGGACCAGGCCCACAACCCAGGCAAGTGCCCTGACTAGGAGCTGAACCAGCGACCCTTTGCTTTGTGGGACGCAGCTCAACTAACAGCCATGCTGGTCAGGGCAGAAAAGAAAAATTTTAATGTACTTTTCAATTAGGCAAAAACAATCAGGCATTTTAAATACACATAGCTTACCTAGTCAAAAATTTATTAATGTTCTCGGCAAGCTTTTCTTGAAGAGATTTGTTGCTTAATATTTTTTCTCGTGCATTTTCAATAACCATTTGCTGGAAAATAGAGTCAGTATCAGCAAAACAACAGACTATTACGTTATTTATTTTAAAAAATTTAATGGAAGCTGGGTAGCTTTAACAAATCTAGGTGGAAACTTAGAAATTATGGTGGTTCCCTCAATACTGACATCTGAATACTACATTTTACAACTTATAAGTGTTCACAGGTCCTTCACCAACAATGACTTCAGTGATTACATAACATAGTTTAAAAGTATCTACCCTTTCATAGAAGGTTTTTAATAATCTGACTCTAGTAAAATGCCCAATTGTATTACATAATTCAAAAATATTGTACTACTGTCTCCTAAACATACAGCTTTTTCTTGGTGCATTCACACTTGCTATCTACTCTGAATGAACTGTCTCATACTGTTAAACTTTGTGACCCTCCACACAGAGCAATTCCAATACACAGTCTTTGTATATATCAATATCTTAAAACTCAGGAATATCTTAGGTTGCAAAGTTTAGAAAGGTCACTTACTTTTTCCACTGCAAATGCATTTGGATCCTGGAAATTCCGTACTGTTGACTGTGGCCCAGACAAAGTGGTATTTTTCCTTTGAGATTCACTGAAACCCATTTTAAAAGATTGTCTTTTCAAGTACTATGGTTAACAGATTCAATGATAATTATACACACTGACAAAATATGTACATTATAAATACAGATATATATCTTAAGATCATGGTAGAACAGATATTTTCTCAATATTTGGTAAGAACAAAGGGCAATGAAGTAGAAAAGTATTCCTAGACTTAAATTAAAAAACAAATTAATGTAAAGTCTATCTTTACCATTTATTAGCTATGTGGTCTGTAGCAAGGACCCTCTGATTCACTTTATAATGGGATGAGACCAATTGCATTATAGGATTTATGAAAAAATTAAATGATATAAAGTATCTGAAAGATGTTATAAATAGGTCAAGGTTCCTATAAATGTTATATATTATTAGATCTGATTTATTATTTTATATGGTTAGGTGAGAAAGGATGCCATAAAGAAGGCTGAGGTTAGCCTTGACTGAGAGAAAACCAAAGTAAAAATTCCAACAAAAATACGGATGACATGGCAGTTGAGAAACTGGGAATAAACCAACTTTATATTAATACCCATCGTTCTGAATATCCTTCAAACAAAGAAACATGGGTTGAGTGCAACAGAAAGTACTCTTCTCAGACTGAACCTGAAAAGATTGCTATCCATTGATTTAGGGCTTTAAATGTTTGTATATCCTAAAACATGCCAATATTACTTACATTCATTCAAAAACACTTGTTTCACAAAACCTGACATAATAACAATTTTGATGCATTTTTCTGTAACACTACAGAAAAAACATTTTCAATAAAAGTGATATGCCATTGATTATAAGATGCCACCTGATTTCAAGGAGGTTATAATGTGGAAAAAAATGTTTTGGAATGGATATACAGTGAATAGTTCCAAGAACTTAATCCAACCTTGTTATTTTACTTATAATGTAAATACCCTGGTGTAAATCCTTTTTCTTTTTAAAGGTTACTGGAAACCTGTTTTTTAAAAAAGCCTCTACTGAAAACAAAGTTAAGATGGTGACTTCGGCCAATATGGCTTGTGTATTTGCACAACCAAATCAAAATTACACTGGAAACATATAGAAACTGAGAGGCTTCAGCCCGACATGAAGGTAGAGGTAGATACACTTCATTTCCTCACACAAACAAAAGAAGGATAACAAACAAATTAAAAACAGAAAACAACCAGAACAGCCAGAAAATCCAACTGTCTGGAAGTCTATCAAACAAGGAGTTAAAGAAGGAACATTCATCTAGGCTGGTACAAGGGGCAGAGATGGGCCATGGGGGTGGAGAGAGGATGCAAGGCAGGCAAGGCAGGCAACGCAAAACACTGGTGGGTGGACTAGGCAGGTGAGGCAGTAGCTGGCAGATAGGGTGGTCCCACATTTGCATGCAAATAAATTGGAAGGAAAAATAAACACTCAAAACTTCTGGTTGTAGAAAACCTATGAGGATTGGAGTAGTGGGAGAAACTGCCAGTCTCAAAGGAGAGTCCATTGGAGGGGCCCATGAGGTCCTAGAACACACACAAGCCCACCCATCCAGGAATTAGCACCAGGGCAGTACCTTAAAGGACCTAATTTACAGTGGGAAGCAGGGGAAGTGACTGAGAGCAGGATGGGAGCTGAACAAGCAAAACTGTTCCTTCTCTGAACCCTCCCACACATATACCACTGCGGGTTGGCCCACCTGGGCTCTGCCATTTACAATGTAACAGGTGTGCTGAGACAAAGATTATGAACCAAATAAAAGAATAGATAAAAACTCCAGAAAAAGAACTAAGCAACAAGAAGAGAGCAAACCTATCAGATGCAGAGTTCAAAACACTGGTAATCAGGATGCTCCTAGAAATGGTTGAGTATGGCTGCAAAATAGAGAACAAAGTGAAGGCTATGTAAAATGAAAAACACAGGGAACCAACAGTGAAGGAAAGGAATCTGGGACTTGAATTAACAATTAAGAATGGAAGGAAGAAATAAACATACAATTGGAACAGAGTAAAGAAAAAAGAATTCAAAAAAAAAAAAAAAGAGGAGGCTTAGGCATCTCTGGGACAACTTTAAACATTCCAACATCCAAATTATAGGGGTACCAGAAAAAGAAAAGGAAGAGCAAGAAATTGAAAAGTGACTTGAACAAATATTGAAGGAGAACTTCCACTATCTGGTCAAGGAAACAGACTTTCAGGAAGCCAGAAAGATCAGAGAGTCCCAAACAAGTTGGACCCAAAGAGGAATACACCAAGACATATCATAATTAAATTACCCAAAGTTAAAGTGAAGGAGGGAATCTTAAAAGCAGGAAAAGAAAAGGAGACAATTACCTACAAAGGAGTGCCCATAAGACTGCCAGCTGATTTCTCAAAAGAAACTTTACAGGCAAGAAGGGGCTGGAAAAAAGAATTCAAGGTCATGAAAAGCAAGGACCTACTTCCAAGATTACTCTATCCAGCAAAGCTATCATTTAAATAGAAGGGCAGATAAAGGGCTTCTGAGATAAGGTGAAGTTAAAGCTCCTGATCACTAATCCCTTATTATAAGAAATGTTAAAGGGACTTACCTAAGAAAAAGATCAAAAGTATAATAGAAAAACGAAAACAAACACAACTATCAACAACTGAACCTAAAAAAACAAAACCAAAAACAAACTAAGCAAACTACCAGAAAAGGAACAGAATCACAGAAATTAAGATCACATGGAAGGTTATCAGTGGGGAGAAGAAGGGGAGAAAATGAGGGAAAAGGTATAGGGAATAAGCAAAATTGGTAGGTACAAAACAGACCGTGGGAGGTTAAGAATAGTTTGGGAAATGGAGAACGTGAGAACATATATGTATGACCCATGGTCATGAACTAAGGGTGGAGGAATGCTGGAGGGAGTTGGGGTGCTGGGTGAAGAGGGATAAAGGAAAAAAAAGGACAACTGTAATAGCATAATCAATACAATATACTTAAAAATATTAAAACTAAAATTTACAACTGTCACAAAGCAACATCAGAAACTGATTTGAATGGAAGTCTAACAACTATGAAGTTGAGTCGAAGGGAAGTCAGACAAGTACAGAACTGAAGAAACCACATCCATCCGTATTGGTAGAATGGGGGTGGACATAGAATGGGCTGGTCCCAACACCAACATGGATAAAAATTTGGGAGGGATATCTTGGGAGCAAGGAGTCCCAGACCAAAACCTGCCCCCCCAGCTAAAGATTCTAGTGCCGGGAAGATAAGTCCCCACAACTTCTGGCTGGGAAAACCAGCAGAGATTCAGTTGGTGGAGAAGGCTGCTAGAGCCCTAAGCATTTCCCCTTGGGGAACTCAAAGATTGATGACTCACCTACTCAGACTTGCCTCATCTGAGTTCCAGCACCAGGGTGACAGTTTGAAGGGCACCCATGGTATACAGCAAGAGATTGAAATGTCTGGCACTATGGTAAACAGAAACAACCGTCCTTTGCTGAGTCCTCCCACCATAGAATCAGTAGGCTGGTGCTACATCTGAGACTCCATCAACCTGGCTAACACCGTGTGACCTACCTTGGAGACCCACAGAGGCTGTACCCACCTAATTTAGGGACCTACTCAAGCTGCTTTTCCATAAGAATGGCAATCTTGGCTCCTAAATCCTATCAAACAAGCAACAGCTAGCTTTAGTGAGCACCAGAAGCAGCCAGATTAGAGTCACAGCTTGACTTCACCTGGGAATCTCCAAGCCCAGCACAAGTAGCAGCCATCTTAGGTTGCTTTATAGCTCAGACAGTGTGCCCCAGGCAAAATACAGATGGGGGCTGACCTTGGCCTGCACCACCCGAGAAACACCAGGGTCAATGAACCCAGTGGACAGCTACAGACCACACAGAAGCACCACTACCCTGCCCCTGCATGGTTGATCCTCCATGGGCAGCTGAGGTTGGAGGTCAATTGTCATAGCTAGTCCTTGTAGCTGACTTGCCTGGGTAAGTAACTCCCATTGATCTGCCACCAGCAACCAAGGCTCAACGACAAGAGAAAGGTGTTACTCAGACCACACAATGGGAGCACCTCGAGTACCCAGCTTGGGGGATAAGGGAGGGTTTGGCACTGAACCCTGCAGGACACCACTACATTAGACCAAACTACTAAGACATGGTGTCAAAGCAGCTCTATCTAATACATAGAAACAAAAACAGGGAGGCTGCCAAAATGAGGAGACAAAGAAACATGGCCCAAATGAAATAACATAAAAATTCCAGAAAAAAGAGCTGAAGGAAATTGAGATAAGCAATCTATCACATGCAGAGTTGAAAACCTGTTTATAAGGATGCTCAAGGAATTTTGTGAGGACCTTAGCACCATGAAAAAGACCCAGTCAGAAATGAAGGATACACTAAATGAAACGAGAGCACTTTACCGGGAAACAACGGTAGACTGGATGAAGCTGAGAACCAAATCAACGATCTGGAACACAATGAAACAAAAAACAACCATGCAGAACAAGAAAAAGAGAATCCAAAAGAGGACACCATAAGCATCCTCTGGGACAACTGCAAGAAGTCCAACATTCTCATCAAAGGAATACCAGAAAAAGAGAAAGAGCAAGAAACTGAAAATATATCAGCAAAAACAGTGAAAGAAAACTCCCCTAATTTGGTGAAGGAAATAGACATGTAAATCCTGTAAGTTCAGAGTGTCCCAATTATGGGATGGATGCAAAGAGGCCCATTCCAAGACACATCATTATTAAAAACCTAAAGATTAAAGATAAAGAGAGACTTCTAAAAACAAAAGAAAAGAAGTTACCTACCTGCAGGTTGCCAGATGGGAGGAGGTGTGGGGGAATGGGTGAGGCAATGAAGGGATTAAGAAGTACAAATAGGTAGTAGTTATAAAATAGCAATGGGATGAAATGTATAGTACAGGAAATGGAGTAGTGAAAGAACTTACATGCATGACCCATGGATATGAACAATGATTAGGGGACTGCCTGAGGGAGAAGGGGGTACTGGGTAGAGGAGGTGAAAGGGGGAAAGGAAAGGAAAACTGTAATAGCATAATCAATAAAATATAAATTTAAAAAGTCTCAAAAATAAACATAAAAAACATTTACCTTTTGCGTCTACCAGGAGACATTAAATTGGCATGAGTTTTCTTCTCCTGAGCACCAGGAATGATATTTAAAGTCTCACCTGCTGTATTCCAAGAAAACAAAACAGTTAAGTCAAGGAAATAGAATAATTCTCTAAACATGAATTAATGAAATAGACATTGCTACAACATTTTATATGTAATTCAGTTAGCATAGCACACATTGAGAATCTACTGTATGCAAAATGCTGTAAAAGATATTAAGGTGAATAAAATATAGTACTTGTGACTTAAGGTTTTGCTATCAAAGTGCAGTACAGTCTCAAGAAGAAATACATTGCAGAATAAAAGAATGGTAAAAAGTATAAACTAAATATATATTACAGTGAATATATACTAAATATTTTTACCAAGAGGTATAAGAGAGGTTGAAGAAAAGATGGAAATGAGGGGAATGTAATGGATGGCAATAAATTTTAGCTCCACAAAAGAGAAAGATGACTGGTCTCAAACAGAAACAGAGATGTGACACCACTTTTTCCCCCCATAAGTGTTCATTTATTTTTTTAAATATATTTTATTGATTATGCCATTACAGCTGTCCTATTCCTCCCCTTCATTCCCCTCCACCCTGCACACCCCTCCCCCACCATTCCCCCCTTTAGTTCATGAACACGTGTCTCAAGTTCTTTAGATTCTGTATTTCCCCTACTATTCTTACCCTCCCCCCTATCTGTTTTCTACCTACCATCTATGCTACTTATTTTCTGTACCTTCTCCCTCTTTCTCCTCCTCCCACTCCCCTGTTGCTAACCCTCCATGTGATCTTCATTTCTATGGTTCTGCTCCTGATCTAGCTTTGTTTTAGGTGTGGTTGTTAATAACTGTGAGTTCGTTGTCGTTTCACTGTTCATCTTTTTTATCTTCTCTTAGATAAGTCATTTAACATTTCATATAATAAGGGCTTGGTGATGAACTGCTTGAACTTGACCTTATCTGAGAAGCACTTTATCAGCCTTTCCATTCTAAATGAAAGCTTTGCTGGATAGAGCAATCTTGGATGTAAGTCCTTGCCTTCCAGGACTTGGAATATTTCTTTCCAGCCTCTTCTTGCGTGCAAGGTCTCTTTTGAGAAATCATCTGACAGTCTGATGGGAACTCCTTTGTAGGTGACTGTCCCCTTATCTCTTGCTGCTTCTAGGATTCTCTCATTTTAATCTTGGCTAATGTAATTATGATGTGCCTGGGTGTGTTCCTTCTTGGGTCCAACTTCTTTGGGACTCTCTGAGATTCCTGGATTTCCTGGAAGTCTATTTCTTTTGCCGGATTGGGGAAGTTCTCCTTTATTATTTGTTCAAATAAGTTTTCCCACTCATGGCTGTTCCCCTTCCCCTTCTGGTACCCCTATAATTCGAATGTTAGAATGTTTAAAGATGGAGGTTACTAAGCTTCTCTTCATTTTTTTGAATTCTTGTTTCTTCATTCTTTTGTTTGGTTGTTTCTTTCTTCCTTCTGGTCCACTCCCTTGATTTGAGTCCCAGTTTGCTTTCCATCACTATTGGTTTCCTGTGCATTTCCATTCATTTCAATTAGTTTAGCCTTCATTTGTTCCTCTAATTTGTGACTAAAATCAACCAGTTCTGTGAGCAGCCTGATCACCAGTGTTTTAAACTGTGTATCTGATAGGTTGGCTATTTCTTGGTCACTTAGAAGTATTGGCCCTGGGGCTCTGAGCTGTTTTTCTTGAGCCATAATGTTTTGGTCTGTTCACACCTGTTATGTATGAGGGGCGGAGCCTTAGGTGTTCACTAGGGTGGGGCCACCCAGTTGCTGGGTTGTGATGCTGTATGTGGGGGTGGGGGTCAGAGAGGGTCCATGGTGTTTTGTGCAACAAACTCTCTGTGAGCCTGGGTGCTTCTCCTGTCACCCTGACCCCTAAAGTTTTTTCAATTGGTGCTTTTAGGCTTTAATTCCCGTGGCTGGGGCCCTAGCCTGTGCAGTCTGTCTCACTGCTCGCTCCTTCGCCTTGTTTATCTGATTATGAATGTGTGATCACAGTCAGCCAGCCACCTTGTGCCCCCACTGGGTCTGCCTGTTGCCACCCCACACCTGGGATCTGCCAACCACTACCTGCAAGCCTCGGTCAGTCTGGCCACTTTTTTCCTGTGCAATTCCGCTGTGCCAGCTGCCAATTCCACCCCTCTTACTGGTCTGGATGAAGCGTTCTTTGTTGTCGGACTTCCGTACAGTTCAATTTCCTGTGTTTTGGTTGCATTTTTGTTACTAAAACTTTGTTGTCTTTAAACTTGGTTGTGCAAGGAGGCATAGTGTTTCCACTTATGCCTCCATCTTGGCCGGAAGTCATCTGACACCACAATTCTACTCCCAACTGTTATTAACTAGTTTTTGGCCCCTTAATATTAAGTGTTTTAAAAAGTTTCAAGTATATAACAAAATGTGCCTAGATCATTTCCAAGTTTATCCCTAGGTCTAGTCTAAGACTGAGCTAAGAGTATAAAGGATTATGAACATGTAGGGAGGGAGGTGGACTGGAAAATACTCCTCATTCCAAGAGGGCAGGCCAGCATAAACAAAAACAAGGAGATGGTGAAATATACTGTGTATTCCTTTTAAAATCAAATAGAATGATACCTTTTCTATTAATGAGATAACTGAGATATAATAGAAGGTGCAAGGCTGGACTTCAGTTAGAACAGAAACAAAGATCCAAAATTAAAATGTCTTATACATTTAATAATGCAGTTTTTCCTTTCTTAAAAAAAAAAAGATTTTATTCATTTATCTCTAGAGAAGAAAGAAGGGAGAAACATCGATCAGCAGCCTTTAGTACACCCCCCAACCTGGCACTGAACCCCCAACCTACACATGTGCCCTGACTGGAACTGAACTGGTGATCTTTCACCCCATGGTATGACACCCACCCAACTGAACCACACCAGCCAGGACAATATTTCTTTTTTGTGGCAAATTTACTGAAAGTCTTTCTAGACTTTTTTTTTGGCTGTAATTTTACACTATGACTATAAAGACAATACTATTAATACGTCATCTCATTTATACAATTTGATTAAAATAAAATTTATGAGAGTAAAATTTAAACTTACTGGTCACAGTGTCTTGTGATTGTGCATGGTTAACCACTACAAAATTGGACCTCAAAGGAACTGAAGTTTGGCCAGTTGGTCGAATAACTTGCGTAACTGTCAAAGGAGCAGTAGTAAATTGTCCAGAAAGATATGGTAAAGTAAGCAGTTCTGAACTGGCAGGAGCTACTTGAGATGCAAGCCTTCTCTGCCTTTTGATTTCTGCAATTCCACTTCTTGTTCGGGCTGAAACACAGGAGAATTAAAAAAAAAAGTAACTCAATGTCAGAGAAGTTTGGGAGTTTTAAAAAGTCTAAATACATACCCTACTACTTAACATATTAAATCTACAGACTGAAACAGAGACCTTACGAATATCAACTAAGTTTATGAGATGTCATAAGAAGTGAGTAAACTATAAATCTAAAAGTGTATTTCTTCTGTAATAATTCATACTGATGACAACTCCAAAAACTGGAAAACAAACTTATGGAATGAGAACAAAAAGATATAAATATATAAAAGCTAACGAGGAAAACAGGAATACTTAAAATGCATTTTTTACAACAAATATATTTTCTGTTATTACAACAACTACACTTAAAAAAGCAGTAGTATGAACAAAATATATACTTAGCACACATGTAGTTTCAGAAGTAATTCCAAACACTATTTAATTTAAAGTTTAATACCAACCTCTCTGATTGGCAGCGAACCCTGGGGAACTTTGCATGCTCCTAACAAATAAAACAAAGTAGTTAAACATTAAAAAACTCTAGTTGTCAAGACGTACTCTGATTTAGCTGCAGGCAGACATGAATTATAAGTTAAAAGGCAATAGGCCCTGGGCCCTGGCCAGTGTGGCTCAGCTGGGTGGAATGTTGTTTCCTAACGGAATGGTTGCAGGTTTGATTCCCGGCATGGGTGTGTCCGATCCCCAGTTTGGCGCCTATAGGAGGCAACCAGCTGATGTTTCTCTCTTTCTCTTTCTAAAAACAATGAAAAAAATGTCGTATGGTGAGGATTAAAAAGAAAAAAAAGAAGCAGTAGGCCCTGGCTGAGCAGCTCTGTTGGTTGGAGTATCATTCCATACAGCAAAAGATCACAGGCTTGATCCCCAGTGAGGGCACACACAGGAGATACCCAATCTATGTTTCTCTCTCACATCAGTGTTTCTTGCTGTCTACCCTTCCTCCTCCCTCAAAACAAACAAACAAACAAACAAACAAACAAACACCCCAATAATTATATTCTCTGCTGAGGATTAAAAAAAGAGAAAAAAGGCAATAGATTTCTTTCAAACAGAAATACCAAGTACATTTCTTGGGGGTTGAGGGAGGGGAAAGAACCAAATTTATTTGCTTGAGTAGAAAAGTAGTAGCATGTAAATACTCATGCAAATAATTTTCATAATCAAGTTTCTACCTGATGCAATATGTATTAGACAGCCCTAACATTCTCTTAAGAATAAAATTGGATTTGACTTTAGGAGCCCATATGTTTTTAAGAATTTTATAATTACTAATTCCTCTTATAACTATAGATATGCCTTCCTAGAGAATTTCTGATTTCACATATCACTCCACATATAAATACTTTAGAATCCCAAAGTTGATTTGAAAGGAAGGGCATCCTGCTTTTATCAAATTTATGACTGTGAAATTATTTCACCTAAATCTCCAAAGGAGCAAAGCAACAATGTAAGAAAATTTGCAATATAAGCTGATTCTCCTTTTGTGGTTTGGAGTTAGCCAGTTGGTAAACAATCACAGACACTATGCCACTGTCCTAGAAATCTATCAAGTCACTGCCAATAAGAACCAGAAAACTTACTGAATCATTTTTTATAACAGAGAAACCATCTTCAGGAATACTGGGCTAAGAGCCTTCTTTCATATGTAACACTCTGTCAATATAATACTATCTCAATAACTACTAAGTATTTAAGGGTATTAATTAAATTGTGAATATCTTGAAAGATTACTGGCAAGGGGAGAAAGAACAGCTTTTCTTGTTGTCGGACTTCCGTACAGTTCATTTTCCTGTGTTTTGGTTGCATTTTTGTTACTAAAACTTTGTTGTCTTTAAACTTGGTTGTGCAAGGAGGCATAGTGTTTCCACTTATGCCTCCATCTTGGCCGGAAGTCATCTGAAAGTCACTTACAGTCAGAAAATGAAAGTAAAGGTAAAACTATCAAATAATGTATTACAGTTAGATAGAAAGTGTTTGGAACTATTTTAAAGTTTAAACTAAGGATGGAAAATGAAGCCACTATTGAATTTAAGTGGGGTATTCACTTGTAGCTATAGGAGAAGGGTAAAAACTAAGGTTTTCATACCACACTCAAATAAGAGATTTTATAACACCAATATCAATAAAAGATTCCAGAAGTATTATTACTCAAACTTGATGCTTTAGAAGGGAAGAACCAATGAGGCATGGATTCCACAAATTAATTCTTTACAAATGTAGAGAAACTACAACTGTATAAGGGAATTCACAGAGGACTGCTATTAGATTTGTATTCTGGACAGATATCTCCCTGTAAATTCCTATAGGAACTTGAAAATATCATGAAACTTCTCTCAGTCTCAATTTCCTCATTTCTAAACATTTTATTATACTATGCAATTTATTTCAAATTATTAGAATCAAAGACAAAGAAATACCAATAACCTCTAGAGCAATTTCAAAAACAGATCTATGTTTATAAATTCTCCGTGTGGTTCATAAAACTTAAAATTCAAAGTTATTCTTGTATGTTTGCACTCCTAAATCATTATGTATACACTCTGATAAGCTTATTATATAAGCTTTTTATTACCTGATCTGAGAAAGCGTATGGTCTAACTTCTTCCACAGAGATGACATAATTGCTGGGACGTGATTTGATGTTTCTAAATAGTAACAGGAAAAGTTTCTTTAAAACCCAAGTTCGAAAATATGTATCATTCAATTTGAATATATACAGAAAATGAATGAGGAACTTTTCTCTCAAACTGTTGACCTGATGCTGGAAACTGAAGCTATAACAAGACTGCTTTCTTTTCCTGAACCCACTGAATACCAGATATGTGAATGAAAATGGATATTTGTGAAGTCCAAGAATTTTTTAGATTAATTTTTGTATCTTCTTTGAATTAAAGACAAACTATTTTAAATCTCTGTTCAATAGACAGCCTGTGACATGTGAAAGTCAAAGTAATTTGAGTTATAAGTAATCACATAAGGTATGCAAACTGGGAGTATGGAAATTAGTTTTTTGACATGCAATATTTTCATGTCCAAATCACTCTGATTGCTCAGCAACTCTTTACCAGTTACTATGCTTAGAATTACAGGAAAAATTCCTGAGGTCTAATTAGTCCTTTTTTTTTCCAGATGTGCTCTAAAGCCACATTATGGAAAACTCAGTAAGATGTTTAAAATCTTCACTACATATTTATAAAAACTCAAACCAGAGAAAGTTAACAACATCAAAGTGAGATATAAACCACTGTATTGCAATAGCATATTGTTTCTCATGTCACTTGCACACTAAATATTCCTGTAACATAGCTGAGATACTTCGGGAAAATAAATCTTTGATAGAAAGATCATCTAACCTTCTTGAAGAGTTAGAAATGAAATTTAGGCCCAGAACTTCCAGGCTTATCACTTTCAGCGGTTTCTAGTTTTCTGACCTTGGAAAAGGTATCTGGTGCATCTAACCCTCAGTTTTCTGATACTTAAAAATGGGTCCAAATAAGCAGTATCTCTTACTGAATTATTTTAAGGGTTAAGAAAAACCATATGAGAGTACCTGGCATATGTTGCATACACTCAGTGTAAATGTTAAACTTACTTGTTATCATTTTACTTCCTTTTTTGTTATTATTTTATGCAAATTAATTCTTTACCGCTAATTTACATTAATGTTGTAAGCTACAGAGATAATAACTATTAGAGAATAAAATAAACAATTCATTCCCTCTAAAACATTAATTTAGGAAAGGATTATTTTATATTCTGATAAATATAAAGCCAGGATTTTATGACTGTGCTGGTATTCAGATTTACACTACAAACTTAAAATTAAGATATTAATTTGAAATTTTGTAATATATAATCTGTTCATCTACAGTAGTTTTATTCTATGGCTTAAAAAAATTACTTTTAAAATCCAGATGTTATTTATTACTCAATATAAACACATACTATTTAATTAGATATTTGCCAGTAAAATTTATGTCATAACTGAAACAAGTTTTCTTATAACTTTTATGAGACATTACCAGTCTTTAAAAATTATTTGTAATCAAAACAATTAGATAGATGGTATGTCAACATGAATTCTTACCTTTTGTTTTCATAGCTACATATTCATTCAAAATTGTTGTCAAGTTTTTTCCAAATAAAGACTGAAAGAAAAAGAATCAAGTATTACCAAAACCACTGAATATCACAAATAATATCCCACCGAGAAACATTTTACCATGTAAAGTAAATGATCTGGATTACAGAATAGGTGATAAAGAAAGTGTACAGAGCAGATTATCCAAAATGAAAATTGTCACTAAAGTTAGGGTAAAGAACCTGTTTGTTTGAATAAGACATTGTAACTGTGTTTCTTTGGCTAATAAGAGCCGCAAGGCATAAAAAGCAATTTTTAGCTGGGAAACAGAGATCCACTCCTACAACTATTAAAAAACAATAAGGACCCTTTCTGTCTGGGAAGCCTAGTGAACACAGCAAAAAAAAAAATGTGTAAGAGATACCCTTCCCAAGGATCAGTACTTTCTTATCTTCACTTAGATCATTTCATAAGCTCATCCTCCCTGCCCCTATTTCCACTGCTATTAAAGGACAAAGGTCATGTAATAAAGTCTTTAGGGGAAGGCTTATTGAAGTCTGTTCCTAAAGCAGGGTCTACCCAGAAAGGTTGAGTAGCCAAGACACTGAGATGTCACAATGTTTCCCTCATGAACTTAACCTTGTTTCTGCTGCTGTTGTCTGTATATGTCTATACAGACCATGACTCAGGTGAATAGGTTGCTGTCTTGTGACAGTCTGTATGTAGTCTTGGGTGGACTGTCTGACCTGGTGTTGGTTGGGCTCCTTTCCTTTGTAAATTAAACCACACTGGCCACCCCCTGTCCCTCTTGTCCAGGGTCCTCCTCAAACTATCTACAAGTTTTTTTGGTGTGATTTCCATGTTGTTCTTTTTTTTTTTAAAGATTTTATTTATTTATTTTTAGAGAAGAAGGGAAGGAGAGAAGGAGAGAAACATCAATGTATGGTTGCCTCTCATGCACCCCCTGCTGGGAACTGGCCTGCAACACAGGCATGTGCCCTGACTGGGAATCGAACCGCGATATTTTGGTTCGCAGGCCCGCACTCAATCCACTGAGCTACACCAGCCAGGGCTCCATGTTGTTCTTCATAGTTTGACTCCATGTAGAACACAGTCTGTCTCAAACGAAACAGTCAGGTTTAGATTTTTACACAGACTATGGGTGGGGGGGGAGAAATGGGAGAGAGGTGGCGAGGGATGGGTGGGTGGGTGGGCTAGGATGAGAATAAAAGACAGAAAACTGCACTTGAACAACAACCAAAATAAAATTTAAAAAAATATGGGAGAGACGGGCAGAGGAGATCTAGCATGGCCAAGGTCTTGGATGAATATTTAACAGCCCCCTTCTCCAACTTGTTGGCTTTTTTCCCTTGGGGCTTTCTCAGTGACTGACCCTCCTTCTATGGCATGGTCCTTTTAATCGCTCCTTACAATTGCCCGTACCCAGTTGTCCCCAAAACGTCATGATTGTTAGCCGCTTTCTTCCTTGAGATGATTTCTGATGTTTCTTCCTTAATCCACTAGGCCCCTTCTACAACCAGACTGTCCCATCAGAAGTACTTCCCAGTGATGTGAGATTCCTACACAACAGCAAAGGCAGTGTCTCTGAGATTTTGAGATATGTTTATTATGAGACAGCACCATACTCCCAAGGAATGGTATTTGGCATTCGAGAGAGGTTCGTGACTTTGGATTCAAGATAACAAAGTAGGAAGAGCCCAAGCTCACCTTTCATTGACACCAAAACTACCACACATGAATGAACAACTGTCTCTGAGAATGCCCAGAAAACTAGCACAACAGATATTCTACAGCTACAAATATAAAGAAGCCTCACTGAAAGAGGTGGGTAGGAGGGGCCAGAGACTCAGTCTATTCCCTGCGTGGTGACCCACAAGTGAGAAGGATATCACAAAAGCATTAAGTTTCCAGAGAAGAGCGAATGATCTGAGCCCCAGTCTGGGGGGCGTGCACAGGGAAGAGGATAACACCTGGCTTTGAAAAGCAGTGGGGATTATGTCTGGGAGAGTCAACGGGCTGTAGAAAAACCAGTGCAGAGGCAGCTACTTGAAAAGTACCCAGGTCATATGTGAAGGTCATATCCTGACTAATTTGAGGGCATTTGCTGGAGCAATAAAGATTAGGTGAAACTGTCTTCAGAATCAGAAGTCCTGGAGGGTGCCATTTCCTCCTCCTTTCTGGTCTGAAACTGGCAGGCACCATTTATGACACCCTCCATTAACCTTGCTGATAGTGTTCACCCCACCCTGGCATTTTCCTGAGGACCCACCTAGGCTACCACTTGTGCAAAGCAGCTGCTGTCCTGCCACACAAGCTAGTACACAGCAGTGTGTCTGCATTAGTTGAAGCCAGGTGTCGCAGACCGACACATCGAAGGCCTCCTCTGTCCATCAATGTTGCCACAACCAGCCGGGCACCAGCCTCGCCTGCCAATGTGTCCACAGAAGCTGTGACCCAACCATAAAAAGGAGGCAACATTAGTCCAAAGTGAACACCCCTGGAGCCCTTGGCTGTGGTGACTAGCAGCAATGCTCAACTGGGCCCTATAAGACTTCTAAATAAAGCAACTTTTTAATTCCAAGAAACAATAGCTACCTAAGACATAGGAAGAATAAGCAAAATGAGGAGATGAAAGAATATGTTCCGAGAAAAACCAAAAAAACCCAGACAAACCCCAGAAAAAGGCTTCCATAAAACAGAGATAAACTGTCTACTAAAGAGTTCAAAGTACAAGACATAAAGATGTTCATCAAACTCTGCAGATCAGCAGACAGACTCAGTGACAACTTCAAAGAGAGAAAAACTGTAAAAAGAACCTTTCAGAACTAAAGTACACAACAATTGAAATGGAAAAAAATACACCAGAGGGAATCAGAAGACAATCAGATGATACAAAAGAATGTATCAGCAATGGGGAAGACAGGGTAGTGAAAACTCACCCACCTGAAAAATCAAAAACAAAAACAGAGAGAGAAAGAATGAAGATAGTACAAGGACCTCTAGGACAACATGAAGCAGAACAACAATCACACCTGTAGGGGTTCCAAAGAGAACAGAAAGGGACAGAAAACCACTTGCATAATTGCCAAAAACTTCTCTGATTAAAGAAACAGACATTCAGGCATAAGAAGCACAGAAAGTCCAAAAACCATAAACCCAAAGAGACCCAAAGCAAGACATATCATTAATTAAAATGGCAAAGGTTAAAGACAAAGAGAAAATCTTAAAAGCAGCAACAGAAAGACAAATAGTTACATATAAATAAAGTTCATAAAACTATCATCTATTTTTTCAACAGAAACTTTGCAGGCCAGAAGGGAGTGGCACAATACAGTCAACATGATGAAGCAGATAACCAGATACTCTAATTAGCAAGGTCAACAATTCAGAAATGGAGATCAAGAGCTTCCCAGAGCAGCAAAAGCTAAATTAGTTCATCACCACTAAACAAGCATTACAAGAAATGTTACAAGAAATTCTTTAAACAATAAAGAAAAGGCAAAAACTACAAATGAGAAAATATATGAAAGAAAAAATCTCACTACTAAAATCAAATGTAAAGGTAGTAGACCGACCACTTATAAAGCTAGTTTGAAAACAATTAACATGGCAATAAGTACACACCTATCAATATTTACTTTAAATGTAAATAAGTGTTTCATTTAAAAGACATAGGGTATCAGAGTGGATACAAAAACAAGACCCTTAAATATGCTGCTTACACAAGACTCATTTCACATTGAAAAACACATACATACTAAAACTAAAGAGATGAATAAAGGTATTTTATGAAAATGGAAACAAACAAAAAGCTGGCATAGCAATACTCATATCAGATAAAATAGACTTTAAAACAAAGGCTATAAAAAGAGAAAACAAGGGCCCAGCATTTCTACTTCTGGGCATTTATCCAAAGAAAACAAAAACACTAACTTGAAAAGATATTTGCACCTCTATGTTCACTGCAGTATTATTTCCAGTAGCCATGATATGGAAGCAAACTAGGTATCCATCAACATATGACTGGTTAAAGAAGTGACATACACAAATATCACTCAGCCATGAAAGAGAATAAAACCTTGAATTCTGCAAAATGATTGGACCTAGAGGGTATTATGCTAAGTGAAATAAGCAAGAGACAGACAAATATTGTATCATTGCACTTATATGTGGAATCTAAAAAAGTAAATGTCAGGATGGGCAGGGTAGAACAAAACGGTGGCTTGACTACAATCCAAAATGGCAGCTGACATCAAACCGGAGAGCCGAAAGGGAAGGCTTTGTTAAAGCAGTTATCTACATAGCAACCTGAGCCCAAGGAAAACCACCAATGATGTATTGCCACTTTGTTCAAAGGGGTCCAATCCCCAGCTCCCACAGAGAGCCAACAAAAATAAAACCCCGCCACATTCCCTACTCTGGTGGAGACTTCTCTGGCCCCATGCTTTGTGGACCGTAGAATCTCGCCTTGGTACGCAAACCCCAATAAATCCCTTTATTGCCTAACTTTGTGGCTGACTGGCATTTCTTTCTCAGCAGAAGCTGAGGAAACCTTTCAGTAAAAAAATGAGAAACCAAGCAGAAAGACTCATACAAATACAGAAGAAAAAAAAAAAAGAAGTTACCAGTTTTGGTCAGTAGGGGGTTGGGGGCAAAAAGGTGAGAGGGTACAAACTTATACATAAATGACAGGGATGTAAAGTACAACGTAGGGAACACAGTCAACAATATTGTAATAACTTTGGTAAGTTACATACCACATTTTGCTGTGCGTAACATGCTCCAGTGTATAATGTGCACCCACATTTTTGGCCCAAACTTTCAGGGGAAAAAATCCTTCGTTTAATTTTTTCAACTAGTTTTTAATTTACTTACATTTAGAAACAAAAACAATGATCATATTCCAGAGTATTATTTCCCACACAGATAATTGTTATTGCTTTCTAGAGTTACACTTTTAACTCCTAAGCATAAATAAAAGAATTCAAAACAGTTGCATAGATACAGAATTAGTACTATCCATGTATAATGAATATCCTGATTTTTCCTAAAAAATTTGGGCAAAAAGTACACATTATACAAAACAAAATATAGTAAATGTCAAACTACTATGTTGTACACTTGAAACTAATATAATATTGTAGGTCAACTGTATTTTAATTAAAAAGAACTTTATATTTCAGAGCTAAAATTAAAAAAGAGTATTTCCCAAATAAACACAGTTCTTCCCTAAAAGAAATTATATATATTCAGCTATATAAACTTGAAAGTATTCATGTTTGTGATTGGCAGAATATTATCTCCCGCCCCCCACCACTCCAAGATATCCAAATGCTAATAACTGGAACCAGTGAATATGTTAGGATACAAATCAAAAGGGAGTTTAAGGTAGCAGACAGAACTAAGGTTGTTAATCAGGTGACCTTAGAATAAGATTTTCTGGGTGAGCCCAATCTAATTACAAGAGATCTTTAATGTAGAAGAGGGAGACAATACTGTTAAAGAGAGGTGTAAGAAAAACTCTATAAGCTGTGTCACTGGTTTTGAAGATGGAGAAAAAAAAAAGACAAGGAATGCAGGCGGCCTACAGAAGCTGGAAAAGGAAAGGCTTAGAATTCTTTCCTAGAGCTTCCAGAAGGACTAGACCTGCTTATAAATTAATTTTAAAGGCAAACCCACTGCAAGTTGTTGGACTTCTGGCCAATAGAATTATAAGGTGATAAAGTTGTATATTAAGCCAGTAAGCCTGTGGTAATTTGTTAAAGCAGCAATAGAAAACTAATACAGGTCTCAAGCCGTTTCCAGCCATCGTTAATATAAGGAGAACAGTTTGCATAACTTAATGTAACCTGGGAGCCAAAAAGAGTTGACTGGAATGCCCATGCGTGAACAATGAAGAGTTTACTGTACTAGTCACTGGGGGCAGTAGATGCCATTGAGTGAGCATGCCACTAAGTGTAGTGTGTGTCCGCCACATTCAGAATGACTGAGCAAGTAAAGCAATGAATCTGTATCAAATTCTGCATTACACTTGCACTAATCCACGGAAACTATTCAGATGATTCAGAAGACTGCAGTAACAGGCAACTGGTGACTGGCAGCTTTATTACAACAATGTGCCCACTCATGTATCGCTTCTTGTGTAGAGTTTCTTGGCACAACACCCAATCACCCAGTTGATGCAGCCCCCTACAGCTAAGATTTGGTGTCCTGTGACTTCTGGCTTTTCCCAAAACTAAAATTACTTTAAAAGGGAAGAAATTTCAGACAGTCCATGAGATTTAGGAACATATGACGGGGCAGCTGGTGGCAATTGGGAGAACTGTGTGAGGTCCCAAGGGGCCTACTTCGAAGGGTACTAAGGCAACACTATCCTATGTACAATGTTTCTTGTATCTTTTTATCTTGAATAAATGTCTCTATTTTTCATATTACATGTCTGGACACCTTCTGGACAGACCTCGTATGTGTAACCTTTTTCTAATGCCACTCAATCTTGATTACTATAGCTTGTTAGTCATAATATCAAGTAATCTGAGTCATCCAATGTACCTTTTTTGTTCCTTTGCATTTCATATAACATTTATAATTAAGGTTATTGTTATCTACAAAATTACTTGTGGAGATTTTGATTTTAATGAATCTGTAGATTAAAATGGGGAGAACTAACATCTTAACACTACTGAGGTTTTCAATCCATGAACATGGTGCATCTCTCCTTTTATTAACATCTTTGATTTCTTTTATGTAGATTTTAGGATACAAATCCTACACATATTTTGTTAGATTTATTACCCAAGTACATTCATTTTGTTTGCTTGTTACTATTATAAATGGTATTTTTTAAAAAAAATCAATTTCCTGAAACACATTCATAGATACATGGAACAGACTGATGGCAGCCAGAAGGGAGGGGCGTTAGGAGACTGAGTGAAAAAGGTACAGAGATTAAGAAGTATAAATTGGTGGTTACAAAACAGTCACTGGGATGAAAAGTACAGCATAGAAAATATAGTCAATACTACTGGATTAACTATGTATGGTGCCAGGTGGGTACTGAAAATACTGGGGAGAACACTTTATAAAATACAACTATCTAACTACTAGACTGCACACATGAAACTAATGAAAAAGAAAAAATACTGACATAAACTATAATTCTAAAATAAAATTAAAAATTCAATTTCCAGTGAGATGCATTGGAAATTGATTCCAATGATTCCAATGATCCATTGTGGGTATAAAGAAGTATGATGAACTTTTGTGTATTTTGCATCCTTTGAGCTTGCTAAACTCTATCAGCTATGCAGAGGTATTTTTCTTCTGCAGATAATCATGTTGTATGACAGATGAAATGAATCTAAGCAGCTATATTTATAATGACAAAATACCATTTAAAATGTAGTTCCAGAATATACCCACTAAATGATACTGTTGGTCCAGTAGTATTTTAGATATCAAAATCCCTGTGTTATATTTGTCTGAAGTAAGCAACAAAAGAGGAAAGGATGGGCTGCTATTAAGTACCATAGACCAGGTAGCTTAAATAACAATTACTTCTCATTGTTTTGGAGCCTAAAAAGTATAGGAAACAAGGTGATGGGTGATTTGGTTCCAGGAGAGAACCAATTCCCTGGTTTGCAGACATCCCCCTTCTTTCTGTGTGCTCACATGGTCTTTACTTGATGTGTGCATGTGCAAAGACTTCTCCCCTTTACTCTTTTTATTAAGGTACTAATCACACCATGAGGGTTGTAACCTCATGATATAATCTAAACCACACTGGGGGTTAGGGTTTCAACATACGAATTTTGAAAGGACACAAACATTCAATCCATAACAGGAAGTAAACAAGCCCCAGACAAGCAGTAGTGAAACGAGTAAGAAATGACAGTATCATTCCAAACTGATTTTCAGGTGCAAAGTTGTAATTCATTTGTGAAAAGAAGAGCTGGTATGCTTTTGGGTCTTTCTGATCATGCATGAATATAAGCTATCAAATTTTTGCCAATTTTGATTTTGCTAATGAGTTGATTTTAAGACTGTGTGTGTAGTCTCTTATGTTGGTCAACAGTGAAATATTTCCCTTATGAAACAAATCACTTACCAGTAAGCAGGCTGGGATAAAACCTTCATCTGTACAGTGTTCTGCATATTCTTTTAAATGTGAACTTTCCAAAATAAAAGTCTGACAGGTAGAAGTGAGGTTTTCCTGTTGTAAGTAACCTAAATGAAAAACAGAAGTTTAGGTAATTTTAGTAAATTCTACACTTCTGATAAAAGAGCTGTTAAAAATGCTAGAGCCCCACATTGGGTATGCAGACATACTTTTTGGGTTGGCTAAAAAGTTTCTATAGTTTTTTCCCTACAATGGCTCTAATAGTGTTTAGTTGTCTTTAATTCATTTGAAACAATTTTGTTAGATTGTTGTCATATCAATGTGCTGTCATACCAATGTGCATTCAGAAAATTACTCATCAAAACTGCAAACTGGTGTAGCCTCTGTGGAAAACAGTATGGAATTTCCTCAAGAAACTAAAAATGGAATTGCCTTTTGACCCAGCAATTTCACTGCTTGGTTTATACCCTAAGAATTCTGAAACACTAATTCAAAAGAACCTGTGCACATTGTTCAAATGTATAGCACCCCAATGTTCATAGCAGCATGATTTACAATAGCCAAGTGCTGGAAGCAACCTAAGTGCCCATCAGTAAATGAATGGATCAAAAATCGAGAATGGATCAAAAATCGAGAATGGATAAAAAAATTCTACACAATGGAATACTATGCAGCAGAAAGAAAGAAGGAGCTCCTACCCTTCACAACAACATGGACGGAACTGGAAAGTATTATGTTAAGTGAAGTAAGCCAGGGGGTGAAAGACAAAATACCATATGATCTCACCTATAAGTAGAACCTAATCAACAAAACAAACAAGCAAGCAAATACAACCAGAGACACTGAAATTGACAACTGACAGTACCAGAGGGCAGGGGAGAGGGAAATAACACGGGAAAGAAGGGAAAGGGATATATATCAAAGAACATGTATGAGGACCCATGGATGGAGCCAAGACAGGGGTGGAATTGAGGGTGGGAGGTGGGCTTGGGTAAGGCGGGGGAAAGTGGTGGTAGGAAAATGGGAGACAACTATATTCAGACATCAATAAAAAAAAGGAAAAAAAAATCCTGAATTTTTGTGCAGCCATTTTAATACTGAAGATGGAAGAAAACACGTAACATTTTCAGCATATTATGCTTTACTGTTTCAAGAAAAATAAAAACGCAACTGACACATAAAAAAAGATTCATGCAGTGTATGGAGAAGGTGCTGTGACTGATAGAATGTGTCAAGAGCAGTTTGTGAAGTTTCTTGGTACTACTGACATTTAGGCCAAATAATTATTTGCTGTGGGGCTGTCTTATGCATTTGAAGATACATAGGCTCACTCCTGTTCTCTATGTACTAGAAGCCAATAGCAGAAAATAGCCAGCATACTCAAAATATCCAAGTCAATAGTTATTGGTGAAAATGAAGTATGTGTCTTTTATTTTAAGGAAAAAACTAACACTTTTTGCCAACTCAATATATACACACACTCACTCCAAAGAAGGGTCAAATCACAAATAGAATTGCTGGTGGAATATGTTGGGATTCTACAGACTTATTCAGAAACAGAAGTTTATACAGCCTCAAAGTAAAATATATAAAATAACTGGCTTTTTAATAGGAGAAACTCTAGATAAACTAGAAAAATAAGATGTCTGATAAAGTATAATTGCTGCACATTAATGCTTATATGAGAATCAATAAAGTAACAAATAAATAACTAAAAAAGGAAGTGTTATTCTTCTGCTTCATAGCCTCCATATTTGAGATAGGGTATGTAGTAAAACAGCTGCAATCAATAAAAGCTACAGAAATTGTCAATAAGCAATACCCGCGCCCACCAGATTTATGGCTTAACCTGGGCTAAGACCAGTTGGATCCAACATGGCGACTTATTTCACCTAATAGTAGTACCTTGCCTCATTATACACTCATTGTAATACATGAGGATGCTAAATGACCATGCTCTGAAACGGAAAGCCCACCTAAGGGTCACATGTGACCTATAGAGCTCCTTAGTCTCCACTCCGTTCCTGGGAAGATTTTAAATATTCCTCCCCATTATTTAAATATTCCTACTCCCGGCCAAGAACCTCGATAAAGGAAGCAAATTGTGCTAACGGGGGTGGCCCTGTCTGTGCAGTAGCCCACTGTGTCTCACTGCTTTGCTAACCAACTTAAAATAAATGCTTGCTCATATTTCAGTTCTGTACTGCCTGAAGCCAAGAATCCACTATGGGTTGTGGAACCTTGGTCTGTATCATCTCAACTAAGTTAGTATTAATTTAGTAAATTATCAAAAATCCTCATTCTCCAAATGTTGCTATTTACTTGTATACTTAATTTATTTAATGGTTTGAGAAAAATTGAAAAAAAAAAAAAACAAAAAACAAAAAAAAAACTTTTCATGAACCATAACAAAGACCTTCTTTTTAAATTTTATACCCTTTGGGAATCAAAGCATTCATTATTTCAACAAGGACTTTAACATTCACACAAAACAGACATTGATGGAATAATATTATAAAGCAGTGCTTGGAATTTTTGCACATATGTATTAGTACTGACTATCAGCCAATCTTTGTGCTTTTATTTCTTAGGATTACTAAGGTTTAACTAAACCAACCACTAAAAATACCAGTATGGCATAAAAAGAACAATGAAGAGAAAATCAGGAAACCAGCTGCTGCTTCTTCCTTATCCTCATCCAAGATATGTTCATTGATTTCTTTTTTAGGGATACACACACACACACACACACACACACACACACACACACACACACAGATACATCAGTTGCCCCCGTGTCTGATCGGAAATTGAATCCACAACCTAGTATGTGCCCTTACTGGGAATTGAACCTGCAACCGCCTGGTGTCCAGGATGATGTTCCAAATAAACAAACAACCCAGCCAGGGCAGGAAAGCAGTTTCTATTACAGTCTATTAAAATAAGAATTGTTACTTTGGGGGAAAAATCACCTATATTCTTTTGGACTCAAGATGCTTCATCTATAAGGCATCACATTTGCCTTGACTTGTAGATCAAATCCAGTTAAATAACTACCCTCCTGTGTAAAGAATTTCAATGACTTTGCATACCTTTCAGTTTAAACTTCTAAATTCTGAGCAGCTTCAGTAGGAATAGTGAATTGAGGACCTTTCAACCATAAAAGCAATGACAACACTCATACAAATGATCAAAATAAATTTTTACAGAACTCTCAAAAATAATAAGTTTTGCAAAGATCTGGGATCATTTATTTTTTTAAAAAATGGCTAAAAGTAAGTACAGTGAACACTGTGGTATTTTAACTTGCTCTATTTCCATGCTCATTTCCTTAGCTTAGTAATACACTTGAAAATAAATAACCCTCAATCACTGTGAAAACCATCAGCCTAGCAGCCAGGGCAGGAATCAGATGGGGCTGCAATTTTCCCAAAGCCCCATTCCCAGAAACTGTCATTATTTGACCTGTGTGACAATTCCCTGTAAAATCCCACTTGTACAGCTTGTCTCTGAATTTAATCAGTGTGCCTCCAGTGCAAACAATCTTTCCCTTGAGGTGCTTGCTTAAAATAAGCAACAGGAATTGCTTAACACCATAGCTGCCTGTGACATAGAATAACAGCTGGGACAAACAATAAGCAAACAAACAACACAGTTTGGAAAAAGCTCTGACGTGGTCCCAAAATACTAGGTCATGTGCAAATGTAAGGCAGTGCACGTGCTCAGAAAGCGTGAGAAGGCCCTAAATCCTCACTTCTGGTTGAGCAAGTGAATACTAAGGCAGAGTTGTCAGCTGCTTAGATGAATGTTTAAGCAGGCCCCACGTACACAGAGCCCCTGATAAAAAATGGGAAACGAACTGACTCTAATCATTTCAGGATAACAATGTCCAATCATAGAATATAAACTCAACTAATACAGACTTTAGTACAGTATTAGCTCAAGAAACGAAACAAATAACAACTGCTTAACAACAACAAAGACTAATAACCAATATGAGGGAGGGAGAAAAATTTGATTTCAAGAACTGTCACATGAAGTGTCCAGCTGTCAACAAAAAATATGAGACATGCAGAGAAACAAGAAAGTATGGCTCATCTATGGTGAGTGGGGAGAGCAGTTAATAAAAACTACCACTAAGCAAGCTATGACACTAGACTTAAGACTTTAAATCAGCTATTTTAAATGAGTTCAAAGAACTAAAGAAAACCAGGCTTAACTATTTAGATATTTAAGTACCTAAATTATAACAACGTCTCATCAAAAGGACATAAAATGTAGAAATTATAAGAAAAATCAAGGAGGTATTCTGGACGTGAAAAGTATAACTGAAATGAAAAACCACTAGAGGGGGCTCAATAGATTTGAGACAGGTGAAAAAATCAGTGAAGTTTAACACAAACAAATGAGATTATCCAGTATGAGGAACAGAAACAAAAAAAAAAAACTGATGAAAGGTGAACAGTCTCAGAGAACTGTGGGACACATTAAATGGGAGTATAAAAAGTATAATGGGAGTCTCAGAAAGAAACATGAGAAAATAGAAGAATGAATATTTGAAGAAACAGTATCGAAGAACATCCAAAATTTTATGAAACACATCAATCTACTTATCACACAGGAAACTCACTAAACTGCAAGTAGGATAAAGATACATCATAATTGACCTGTCAAAAGACAAAGACTAATCTTGAAAAATAGAAAGAGAAGCAGCTCGTCACATACAAGGAATCCTCAAGATTAACAGCTGATTTTTCATTAGAAACCAGGAAGGCCAGAGGTAGTTAGCTATAACATATTCAAAATGGTGATAGAAAAAAGTCAATTAAGAATTTTGTATCTAACAAAACTCCTTCAAAAAAAAGGAAGAGAGCCTCAGATTTGTAACAAAACAAAACACCAGAGAATTTGTTGCTAGCAGATTTGTCCTATAAAAAATATTAGAGGGAGTCAGTTATTCAGGCTAAAATAAAATGACACTAGACAATAAATCAAATTCACATTAAGAAAAACAAACACTGGTAATTACATAGGTAAATATAAAACAGTAAAAATGATTTTTCTTTGTAACCTTCATCTCCTATCTGCTTTAAATGCATATGGCAAT